TAAGTTTTCTATTATGTGATATTACACACTTCTATTTAAACTATACACTTATAATCTTAGTTTTGTTATTTAATTTTGGAAATCTCTATGGCTTCAGGTTAAATATAGTGTTTTCTTGAGGGTCTGTGTTTTTCTACACAGAAAGTTTAAAATTTTCAGTATCTAGAGTTCTAACAATTAACAATTCCATCTGGAATCATGAAACAACCAAACTTTTATTTCTTCTTACCAGAAAGCAATTTTTTCCCCAGATTTTTTTCCTGTTGGTCTGTAACTGGGGCCACACGGAAGGCTGTAATTTCTAATCAGAAATATTTGTCAGAAAATATTTCTGATTAGAAATTTCTGATTTCTGACAAAAATATTTGTCAGAAAATCAGTCCTGTAACATCCATGTCACTGAGAAATTCAACTTGGTTCTAGCTAATGAGAAGCTTAGCCAGGGGATGCACCAGTGTTCAGCTGTGGGGATCCATTACTTTCCTCAGGATTTGTGTGTACAGGACTTAAACAAGGAATATTTGAAGAGGGAACTAAAGAGCTGAGGTTGATGCCATATTTAGTAGTGCATTATAATTCCTCTTGGAAGTGGCAGACCAGTAATCTGGGAATTTTGGCTGTCATCCTGCTACTGTTTATGAGCAATTTTAATGCAGTAATTACGTGTAGGGGAAATTCTTCACTAGGTTGATGAGATAAATGGAAATTTAATCTTTTTTTCTTGTTTGGTTGTCCAATCTTTTTATGGCATCCTTCTGGAAGCAAGGGGATGTAATAAAAGAATCTGGAACTCCATTGCTCCTTGGAAATACTGATAGTTTGAAAGATTTGCTCAGTCTAAGTTAAAGGCAGCTCATTAAACAAACAAATGAGCTGTCCTTAGAGCAATCAGTATTTACTATTAACTGAACAGCACAGTAAATAATGAATTGCAGGTAAGGAACTACAGATAAGTATTTGCAGTGAATTCAAATTACTTGACTTAAGCCTGAGGCAGAGAAAAGCAAATAGAAAGCCAGAAAGAGAAGGAGGAGGGGGGAAGAAGAAGGGAGAGGAGGGGCTGCAAATGTAACATTTGTTGTAGCAATCCGTGTTCATTTGCGATGCAGAAGAAAGATTTTCCTGGGCAATCTGGTGCCCCATCCCTGCTGCAAGTGGTGCTGCAGTGAGTCCACCTGAGAACAAAGTAGGATGTGGAATTCCTGGGGAAAAGGAGAAGAGGAGGTTTGGGGGAGACTTTATCAATTTTTCCAGTACCTGCAGGGGGGTTACAAGAAGGCTGAGAGGGATTTTGGACAAGGACATGGAGGGACAGGACACAGGGAATGGCTCACACTGCCAGAGGGCAGGATGGACGGGATATTGGGAATTAGGAATTATTCCCAGCTGGGGCTGCCCCTGGATCCCTGTGAGTGCCCAAGGCCAGGCTGGACACTGGGGCTGGGAGCAGCCTGGGATGGTGGAAGGTGTCCCTGCCATGGTAGGCATGGGAGAAGATGAATTTTAAGGCTCCTTCCAGCCCAAACCATTCTGTAATTCTGTGAAAAGCAGGACTCTGGGCCTGACCCAGCTCGGACAGCAGGGCTGATGCTTTTCCCAAGGTCAGGATTTTGCAAGTGGGTCCCTGGCACTGTCCTACCCCAAGGACAGAGCTGTGCTTTGGCACCAGCGAGACCAAAACCTGCCCATGGCTGCCAAGTGCCTGCACAGCTCCCTCAGTCATTTCTGCAAATTACTTCGGCAGTGAAATTGTTCATTTGCTGGGAGCTGGCAGACGTTGAGAAGTTTGGGTTTGGAGTTTAATCATGGTTGGAGTGAGAGATTGTTCTGCCTGGAGTTTGGGTGTGTGGCTGTGTCTGAAGGCAGGATGGATGGGCTGGCTGGGGGACGTTGCTCATTAAGGAAGGGGCTCGGGGTGTTTTGGGAGCTGGAGGTGAGAGGGAGGTTGGGGATTTAATCAGGATCTCTGCAGTTTCACTGAGGCCTGCTGGGACAGCCAGAGGCGTGACAGGCGTCCTGAACACCCAGAGCTTGGCAGCCCTGCCTAAATGTCACCTTAAAGAGGTGAAGAGCTTGGCCCAGGTCTCTGCAAGGAGGATGAGCCCCACCTGGCTGAGCACCAGCAGTGCCCAGAGCAGGGAGCAGGGAGCGGGGCAGGTCAGGGAGGTGTGTGTGAAGTGTTGGCATTCCATAATCACTGTCACAGCCTCTGTCACTGCACCAGGGATAACAGACATGGGAGCACAAGGTTTATCTTGCTGGGAGGTTGTCACAAGGTAAATATCTCTGCAAAGAGCCTGGTGCTTGATTCCCATCGCCCCAGGGCTGCTCCTCATGGAATCCCCTCCCAATAAACCAACCGAGATCCAAGGCAGCTGCAGGGAGGTTCCCACGTGGAATTACCTGCTGGGTGTGCACAGGTCCATCCCTGCTGGTCCCCCTGTGCTGCCTGCTCCCAAATGCTGCTGCTGTCAGCCCCCAGCATTAGTATTCAAGCCAGGGATCAGGAGTGAGGTGCTAGACAGGCCGACTAATTACAGCAGCCTGCAGAGGCAAGACGGGCTGTGCCACATGATGAAGGACATCCTGCTTACTTGGAACGTTGCTGCTCTGCTGTGGCACTTCATTTAAAAAAATAAGAAAAAAAAAATAAGGTGTGAGCTAATTGGTTTGGTTAAGGAATCGAGCTGTGCTCTTGTTTTTTTCTTGGATGTAATCTGAATTTACACAATGCTTTGTGACACTCATCTAAAATGAAACTTGCTGTGACCTTAGCAAGCTGCACATCTCCTGTAATCCCAGCTCCCCTGCCTCTGGCTGCCATCCTGACCTGCCTGCTCCTGTCCCCAGAGCTGTCAGCAGATGGGGGAGAGGAGGCTCTCGCTGCCACCAACGTGCCATCTGCAGGCAGCAAGGCTGGGCAGGTTTTTATGAGCCAAAATTGCAATTCTGCATCCAGAGGGTTTTCTGTCAGAGCATCTGTTTTACTGCCGTGACACAGATCCGGGGCTGAGCGCGTGCCAGGAGCAGGTGAGGAGGGGGACAGCCCCATCCTGCAGTGACAGCAGCCATCAGGTGGCTGCTGGCTGGGGCTGCTGTGTGTCCTGTGTGTCCCCTGTGCTGTCACACAGCCCAGGTTTGGGCAGGCTGAGCTTTGGAAAGCTCCACTGCTCACGAGTCAGAGCCAGGAGAACTCAAACTGAGGGAAGAGAGCTGCTGGTGTTGCCTGATTCTGGCTGATTTACACCCAGGATGGCCTGGGGCTGCCAGCTGAGCCTGTCCCCTGTCCCTGTCCCCTCCAGTGCCCTTCTGCAGAGCGGGGCACTAAGCAGATTAGTCAGCTTCTTCCATCAGCAAATACTCTGGGCCTAAGATACTTAAAAGACATCTGGTTTTTAGCCTCATTTCTAAACAAATGAGGCTTATGTGATTATGGTGTCTGTCGCCTGCCCCTCGTTGGCCAATTGCAATCCCCAGCTGGGGGTTTTGGGCTCACAGCTGTGAACTTCCAGGAACTTTCTGTGGGCTGGTGTGAACAGAACTTGTCCTGGAGGGAGGGCCACAGCACAAGCTGTGAGAGGGAATGTGCTGGGGAAAAAAAAAAAATCTCTGTTTGCCGGGAAAAGCAGCCACGAGGATAAAAGCCCCGTGGTCTGGAGGGTGTGGGTGTGTGCTGAGCTCTGCCTCTGCCCCAGCTGTGCTGGGCCAGCCCCGCCATGCACAGTGCCACCTCCCGCTGTCCCCACATGCCAACTGCTCCCGTGATCCCGGGATTGCTTTTCTGATCCCTGGATTAGCGGGCTGGGATGTGCAAAGACACCAGAGCTGTGTGTGAGGCAGGCTCAGCTGGGCTGCCAGGGCCTGCCCTGGTGAGCTGTGCCCGTGGAGCAGAGCGGGCCGGGCCAGCCTGGCCTGCCTGGTGGCTCCATGGCTGCTGCACTGTGGCCTTGTCTCCACAATTGTTCTTTCACAGTTATCCTGACAGCTGAGGTCTGAATTCTCCTGGGCCTGATGTCCCTTAGCACTGTGAGGGGGTGCACAGGTGAGCACAGCTCGTGCTGGTTAATAATTCACTCAGGGACTGTGGATGAAGTTGGTGACCAAAATCCTCCATGCATCCACTTTTGCAGAATCCCAGAGTGCTTTCGGTTGGAAAGGGCCTTAAAAATCATTTTCTCCCACTGTCCCAGGCTGCTCCAAGCCCCAGTGTCCAACCTGGCCTTGGACATTTCCAGGGATCCAGGGGCAGCCCCAGCTTCCCTGGGCACCCTGTGCCAGGGCCTGCCCACCCTCACAGGGAACAATTCCTTCCTGATTCTTCATCTAAATCAGAATGCTCTCCTTATCTTCTCTGTGAATTTCACTTAAATGCTTGTTAGAGCTTGATTTGTCTCCTTTTTGCAGCTACACAACATTTTTGCCTTGTCATTCAGAACCTAAGGATGTCCAATAGAATGTGTAAAACCCACTCAGAGTAGTACTGGGACTGGGAGGGAAAAGCAAAGGTTTCCTGTTCTGCTTCCTAGTAATGAACTAAATGAGATTGTGTCCTTCTTTGAGCATAAATGAAAGATAAAAGACAGATGAGATTTATGAACAAGGTCATTAATGTACCAAATTTCTCTCATTAGATCTGTTACATTACTTTCCAACTTACATAACTCTCATTAGAAAAATTTATGAACTGGAATGATTACAAATACACCATATTCTAAACCATCTCTACTTTTAATTGCCAAACAGAAAAAAAAAATATCTCTGTGCTACAATAGAGCTGTACTTTTGTGCATGTGGTTTTTTTTTGTTAGACTTTAAATAGAGGTTGCTCCTGAAGCCAGGAGATGGGGTGAAAATGGACCATTTAGTGCAATTTAGCTGGAAACCTGAAGCATTGTTTTAGTTTTGTAACTGTGTCAGACTCAGGTTGATATTGCAGGCTAATATTGCTGTTTGTTCTCCTCACCAGACTCCCACTCTCACATCCCTGTGCCTGATTTGAAGTGACAGTGAGCAGAAGCATAAGGTATCTCTCATTCTGTTTGGACTCCTTGTTTACAGAAGAGTGATGGAGATGCTATTAAGCACAAAAGGCATCACCATATGCCTGTTTTTCTTTGTATTGAGTTTGGCAGCAGCTATTGAAATACCATTATCAGGTGAGTTGTAGTTATTTGCTGTGTACTTTGCTGTTTTTGTTTGGTATTCCTTTGCAGCTATCCCTGAAGGAAAAACACTAAATCCTCCTTTCCACTTGTGTTCCATTTGGAATTTAATCTTGCCACAATGTGGCCTTTGGGAAATTCAGGTCTGATCAAAAGCTAAGCTGTCCTGTTTGGGCCTGCTTAAATGGAGCAGTAAAGTTGTCTGATAACATCTCTGTGGTGTTTGCCATCCAACAACGCTTAGCTCCGAGGGTTTGGGTTTGTCCTTCACTTCAGTTCCTCATTTTGGCTCTGAATCCCCCTGAAGCTTGTTTGATGTGCATAAATCCCTCCTTCCTTGTCGTGCAAGCTGCCATTCCAGCCTGGGGAAGGAGCAGGTGGATGTCTCAGGGCCAGTGTTTGTCCCCAGAGGAGGATTTCACACTCTGTGCCCTGCCCTGGGGAGCAGCTCCTGCATCCCTCACCGGCTGGGATGAATTCAAACTGCTTGTTTTACATGGATCATGAGCTTCCAGGACACGTGTAAAATATGGGATGAGGCTCACAGGGAGCAATCCAAGGAAAGCCAGAGGACCCCTCTTCCTGGAGTACAGCCCAGACATCCCCAGCTTTGCATTTTTCAGACATAAATGGACAGGAGGGTTGAAAACTGCATTTTGCTTTGTTATTTTGGTTGCAAAAAAACAAAAACAAGAACCCAAAAAAGCACAACTCAACAATATTAGGATTTATGAATTATGGTGGGGAAAAATAAAGAAGTAAACCTAAGGAAGAATAAATTTAGGCTCTTTTTAGGGTCTCAGAGTAGGACATGGGCCAGTTTCAGGGCATCCTGTGGATCTGCCATGAGCTCTTAGCACTCTGGAGCCTGCCAATAGCCCTGGCTGCAAAGAGGAAGCCAACCAAGCAGGTTAATAGGATATTTTTGTAAAACTATCCAAATCTGCATTGGAAAGTAGAGGTTTTTGGGGTTTTTTTCAGGATGAAACTGCAGTGGCTCCTTGTGTTTCACTAAAGCCAAAGTGGAGCTGTGACTGTAAAGCACAGGACAGACTCTCTGGGCATCCACTGCTTTTATGAACATACCCCAGGGAACCACCTAACCTTTAATTAGCTGTAATGAAGCATTTTATATTATAATAAAAATTATTTCTGATCAGTGGAGCTGGTGGGCTTGGAAGTGTTCAGCTTTGAGACCATGTGATATGACAAGACACTGACTTTCACTCCAGCTCTGAGCTCCCTGCACTTAAAGCAGCACACAAAGAGCATTTTAATTCTCTTCCTGGCTGTTTATAACAATGGGGTGATCCTATTATCCCAGCTCCACTGCAGGGAACATTCTCCTTCCTCTCTTACACAGGCTTTTGCAACACTTTAATTCCCTCAGAAAAAACCAGAAGAAGTTGGTGCAGCCTCGGTGCGTGACCACGCAGCTGCACCCTGGGGCAGACATTAAACCAGCCTTGCAGTCCATGGCTTTTCTGGCAATTTTATCCAGGATGGAGGCAGCAGTTTGCTACTTCATGTGTGTGCATCTGTGTCTGGATTCAATCCAGTTTCTGACTTCACTGTGAATAAATTTGCCAGGCCACAGCTCAGTGCTTTGGCTTTGGCTCTGGCGTGGTCCCAGCTCCCCTCTGCCCTGGGTGGGTTTGGAGGGGAACCAGGGTGGGCACTGTCCCTCTGCCAGGCCTTTCTTTGGCCATGGAGGCAGTGACAGTGACCAGAGGGAGGTGTCCATGCCAGGGAGGTGATGATCATCCTTTTCCCAAGGCAAGGCTCCCTTTCTGCAGGAGTAATGCAATCCTGCCATTGTCCCTCTCCACTCGAGGGGAGCCCAGTTTGGCTGGAACTCTGTTCTAACCCAGTTCCTCTTTGTGTTCAGTTTCCCAGCTTCCAACAATCACAGAGCAATCCCACACCCAGGTTGCCTACCCCTTTGATGAGGACTTCACCATTAAATGTGAAGCCAGAGGAAACCCCCAGCCCACGTGAGTACTGCTTGGAGAAGCAAACAGAAGCTGAGTTTGCTTTTAACCTTTGCCAAACATTGTTGTGTCTGTCAGGAGCTGCTGCACAAAATCCTGCTCGTCATCCTCAGCAGGGTTAAGGTTTGGCTTTGCATTCAGGCCATTCAGCTTTTGTTGCTCCATCACTTCCCCTCACCCTGTGAATAGGTATCAACATGGTTTTCCTTGCTGGGGGATGTTTCATTTCTCTGGCACGTGCCAAATTCACCCCCTGGTTTTTAAAAAAATCTTGTCTGGGTTGTGCTGCAAAGGATGGGCTGTGTCATGGTAATCAGAGGGGCCCAGCTGTTCCTCTGCCTGTTCCACAGCAACCCTAAAAATCCCAACCACATTAAACTGTGTATTCAAACAGCAATTTGCATTTTATCAGATACCTTGTCTGTACCTAACCTCAGCAGGGCCGTGGTGATGGTACAGATGGACACAGAACGAGTTACTCAGATAAATATCCAAGGATAAGCTCTGTGCATTTTACACCAGTGTGGAAAAAAAGAAAGATTTTTAATGAAAATGTGACTTAACAAGAGTGTAATAATAACACAGTAAAAACTCCTCCTGAGGCTTTCACCACTGAATGGTGTTTGGGCTAAATTAATAGCTGGTTTGAATGTCATTTTTTCTCTTTAATCCTTCCCTTCTCCTTTCTTTGCAATACAATTTAAACTTTAAAAGGCATTCTTTTATTTAGATCGAGACGATTTGGTAATTTTTAATTGAGCTCTGAATGGGGATTTGTAGCATGATAATAAATTCCCTTTGTTCCACTGTTTGTCAGTGCATCAGTGAAAAGTTTCCTGGTGCATTTAAATGATGTGATGGTGCCTGTTAGGTGAGGGCATCCCATATTCCCTCCATCCTGGAGCAGGATCCCATAATCCTTTCATCATGGAGCAAGGCAGTTTTGCCAAGACCATTGAAGTGCCAAAACAATGGTTTTGTTGTTAATTATTTATTCTCTTAAAACCAAAAAGAAAGGTACATCTGCCACTCAATTGATGTTACTGCAGTTTCCAGTGTCTGATTTTAAATTAGTTTAGGCAAATTTCAGTCCAGAATTGCAGGTACAGGAACAGCATTTATCAAAATCACCCCCCAGCAGCATCTAAACTACAAATGGATCTAAGGCAAGGAGAACCTCAATGGAATCATCTGAATTTCTTCTGATTCAGCCCTGGTGGAGGGTGGGAAAGCTCTTGTGGATCTTTGCCATTCCAAAGCAGCAGTTCCACTACAGCCACAGCCTTTGCCAGCCCAGAGGTGCTGTGGGTGTGTGTCCTTCCCAGATGTTCTGTCTGTCCCTGGCCCTGCTCTGGGCTCTGTGCTCTGCTCTCATGGCACAGCCCAGAAAAGCAGAGTGTGGAGGGAGGGATGTGCCCGAGGGGCACAGGGGGTGCTCTGCCATTCAGCTCTCTCCTTTTCCATCCAGTTTTTCCTTTTATTTTGGTAAAACCCTCTTGGCCCCATATTTTACCCCTCATTAATACCAAAATGCTGTCCTGGGGCCTGCCCACTGTAACATTTCTTTTCTTTTTCAGCTTTAATTGGACTAAGGATGGAAAACCATTTGATTTATCATCTGACCCCAGGATAGTCACATCTAACAACTCTGGAACTTTTGTGATCCAAAACCGAGGAATCATCAACAATTTCCAAGGGAAATATCGCTGCTTTGCATCCAACCTGCTGGGAACTGCCATGTCAGAGGAAATTGAGCTGATTGTTCCAAGTAAGGCCTTCATTTCTGCTTTGAATTTGTAATTATTACTTTTATTATTAAGGTGAGAACTGTCTTTCCTCAAAATAAATGGGAAGGAACCAGCTCACATGGCAAAACATGAGTTGTTTGTTGTTCAGTGAACATTCAAAGAAAAAAGTTGTATTTTCTTCTTGAATAATTTAATTAAATTCTTGGTTTTGAGGACAGAAACCAAATCTGGATGTAGGATTTCAGACCACTGAACTATCAACTCCCACAGGTTATTACTGCAAAATAGCAACGGATGCAAATGTTTGAAAACTCCAGGGGAAGTGATTTGATCAGCTGTGAGTTCATTAATCTGATGTCAGCAGCATTTGGGGTTTGGGATAAATACTGATGGGGAGAAGAATAAAGCCCTGGAACTGAAATGGAAAACAAGCTTAAAAATAAAGCAGGGAAAATTACTGATCCTAGAAATTTGTGCTTTTTTAGCACAGAAGAAGGGCAGAGAGGGAAATGAGGGATTAAGGACCAGGTTTGTAGAAGTGGCATGAAATTTATGGATAGAATCAAAGAATTATTAAGGTTGGCAAAAAGCTCTAAAAATCAGAGTCCAACCCTTAACCCAGCCCAGCCAGGTTCAGCATTCAAAGCTGAAACAACTGGTTTGTACCAATCCATTTAATCACCTGTAGTTTGGAATGTGAGCACACACTTTGGTTCTAAATTCAGGATTGGAACATAGGAAATGAGAAGAGGAAAATCAGAAGCAGAATCGTCCCAGAGGGAGTAGAAAGGACAAGAAACTCCCCGAGCTCCATGATGGAGCAGGGTGAGAACCTGAAGCAGGTTTTATGATGCAGTTCAGTGGCAGACAGGGAGAAAAGCAGCAGTGCAGTGGATTTTTTCAGGTGAGATCCTGCATTTCCCAGCTCCTGCAGTATTTTGTTATGAAATATCTGACAGCTCCATGCTCAGGTGGAATCCATGTGGCAGGGGAGGCATCCCCAGCCTTCTCAGCCCCACAGTGACAGGAAGTGGCTGCTTTTGTACAGAAAACACTTCTGGCAGATCAAATGGGCTATGAGAAACATGAATAAACATTTTTGTCCTGTCTTCAGCATAGGAAATAATCCTGAGAAGCATCCCAGGCACTGCCAGGGCTGGGAGAGTCGTGGTGCTGTGGGCACATTGAAACCCAGACATTGCAAGGGCTGGGAGGGAGCTGCTGAGGATGCCATGTAAATGTATTTTATGAGTGCTCCTCATGAAAGACACATTTGTTTTCCTCCCATCCAGCTTTATGGATTTCTTTTTCCTTGGGAAATCGATTTCATGTTGCAATGTGCCACACAGCAATCCCTGATGCCAGAGCTTGGTGCTGGGTGAGGAATTTGCAGCGTTCCAGGTGTTGCCCTGTGGTTTAGTCTCCACCACCTTGCAGCTGTTTTAGGGAAGAGCTTTCCAGAGCAGAGGAGGGTTGCAGAAAGCTTTAGGACAGTGAGTTGAGGTTTATTGAACTGTTGACAGGGTAGGATGGGCAGCTGATGGCAGCTGGAGTTTCAGGCAGGCAGGAGAGTGATGCAGTTAAACTTCAGACATGGTTTTTGACTTTGGAGTCTGGGGGTTAATATAACTTCTCTAAAGCAAAATATCTCAAACTCATTACGTTTGAGAGGAGTTAAAGTGTCGTGTTTGTACCTCCAGCAGCAGAATATTCTGATATTCCATTGCTACTGAACTAAAAAAGATGAAAAACAAGGAGTTGATGTCTGTATTTGGGATTATTGAATCTGTATTCAGAGAGGAGATTTTTTGCTTTTAATGAAGAACAGTCTAGAGTAGCTTAAGTAGATATTAAATATATTGGGAGTGGATGGCAATAAATTTATGGAGAGGTTACAAACATGGTTGTTATCAAAAGCAAGAGGAGTTTTAGTGCTAATATATGCAAATTCCTAAACCCAGAGAAAAAAAATACATGGTACAGATAATGTATTAGAGGGATTTACCCAACTCACACATCTTTTGAGGCACATTTGCTGTTATTAGAACTCTTCTGCCATCAGTTCTTTCATTTACTGGTGCAATGTAAAAGCTGCAAATTAAATCAGGATTCAGAGAGGAGTGGAAGGCACCTTTGATTTTCTAAAGTGCTCTACAACTGTGCCCCAGTGAAAGAGCTGCTGGTGCACAGATCTGCTGTAAATCAGAACCTGCCAGGGAGGGGCTGGGGATAAATCACCTCTATTCACCCCCAGGTTTTGGAGCACAGACTGGTACATGTGAGATCACTCCCTGCATTCAGGATAATGATGCAGAGGTGGCAGAGCTGTGCCAGCTGCATTCAAGGCAGATGTAAAGCTCCTTGGCAAAGTCACCGTGCCAGGGAAGGGAAGAAAACCCCAGCAAGGCAGAGCAGGGCAGTTTCTTTCATAAATTACATTTCCACTGCAGAAGCAGAATACAGGGTCTGTAAGGCTGCTGCTGAAAAGGAGAACAAAAGAGTGTTTACTCACAGTAGTCATTCCAGGGAAGCAATAGAAATGTCAGCAGAAATGATCATTAAATCTCACCTACATAATGAAAATACCCCACCTCCCCTATGTAGGATGACATTAAGGAGAGGGGGAAGAATGGGCTCTGAGGATCTCGATGTGTTTGCAGCACTAACAAAGGCCAGATTGTTACAAGATACATTCAGCATGAAAATGAATTTAAATGGTGAGAACACAGACTTCAGCTTCCCTCCTCCAGCGTTTTGGGAATCTGCTGCTTGAATTAGTGAGCAGGCCCGATGCCAGAGGAAGGAGAAGAAGTACACTTTAAACTTCTTTAATTAACTGTGCTATGAAAGACTCTTCACGGCAGACTGAGTTAAGATTTATGCTTGGTATTTCTAAAGCTGCTGCTCCAAAAGACCTGAGGATGGAAAAATTGGCTGAATGTAAAATTCTCCTGTGGCAGGCTGTGTTCTGATGCGATGTTAGTGCAAGAATTCCCATAGAAACCAGACCTGAGTTGATATTCAAACACTCAGGTGTGAATATCCTGAAATCAGTCAAAGATGCTGAGCTGATACTGAAGGAGGAGGTCCCAGTTTTGTGAAGGCTTTGGTGTAGCTTTTATGGGAGAGAAAACAAAAGAGAGCAATTCACTGAGACTTTGCAGGTGATGGGGATGGAATTCAACCCTCCTGCCTCCTAAGGCATTGACCTTCACCTGTGACCACCTAAATCATCGGGCTCACCCTGATTCCTGCCAGTGGCCATCCTTTTGAAAAGGATAACAGAGATTACACAGAAAAAAGCTGTCACTGATTCCATTCCCCATCTTCAGGGGTGAGTGGACTCCCAGCCAGGCTCTTCCTGACAGCCAGGCTTTGCTAACTTTTTCAATTTAAGGCAGCAATTAAAAAAATCCATAAACAAGCAGGGTCGTATCTCATAAACAGTTCAAAGGCTGCAATGGAAATTACAGATTTAACTACTGCTCCTGCTCCATGGATCAGAATATCAATTGAGGCACAGAGATGAGCCCTGGAAACATCCCAAGCTTCACTCAGTGCAGCTCAACATCAGGGACTGCAAGTCATGGTTCAGATTCCTTGAAATGTTGGGTTGTTTGCTGTACAGGATACAGATCTGTATGAAAAATCATAATTAGATACTAATTTAAGTGTCTATGGAGCTGGAAATTTTGAGGTTATAGAAAATCCTTGACTATTTCTGCTTTGCCTCACTTTTACATCCTTTAAGGGTTTATTTGCAAGGAAAAATATGAGACTATCCATGATGGATCAGGCTAAACTCTCCTTTACCCCTGGATATCTTCAGTTGAATCCACAGGGAACGTTATAAAACCAGACCTGGGTTACAGTGATGTTTTTCTAGAATAATTTCACCATGTATTTGCTAATTGCAGGTTTATCATCCTGAATTCACTCCCATTTTGCACCTGATATTGGTAGAAACAAGCCACAGGGATCTCAAGGACCAGTTACCTGGAGAAATGCTTTTCCTTTGTTCCATTTCTCAAACTTGACCCCAAAACATGTAAAATACCTGATGGAATGGGCTCCATTCTCACATAAACTGGAATAAATTGCCATAATTGGTAGAGTTTTAGTGTGAAGTCACTGTAATCAGCAGTAAGACAAAAACTGAGCTGCAGGATAAAAACTGAGCTGCAGCACAAGGGGTCCTAAATGGATCCCTGAGTAAATCTGGAGCACTGTTGGGAACTGGAGTTCCCATCTCTGCTTGCTGTATTTCTGAACCTCTGTTTCTGCTAAATTCAAATTAATTTAGTGCAAATTTCTATTGCACTGTATTGGTGTCTCTCCTGTGTGCTTTAGGTTGAGAGGGGATTTTCTGAAGGGATAAGGAGGAGAGACTCAGGGTCCTTCCTGGATTTTTTCCCAGCCCCCCAAATTGGGTGCTCCAGCCTGGTCTGAAGCACAGCTCAGTCACTGAACTTTGAGTCACCCCAGGGATTAAACAGATCCTGGCTCCTTGCACAAATGACTCTGGCCACTGATAATCTTCTGTTTCCATGGTTCACACACTGGCAGAGCACTTCAGTTCTGGTTTTTGAGTGCAGCCTTGTCAGGAAAAACCCCTTGGCCAGCAAAGCCTTTCCCAGGAGTATTTGAAGAGGTGTCACAGTGGGATTTTGGGAGATTCTCCATAGCTGGAGTTGGGAGTGCAGGTTTCCCTCTTCCCCGTGGCTGTTCCACTCACACCCCACGATTTGTGTGTGGATTTAGAGTCACTGAATCCCTCTGCCCTCCCCTGGGCCATGGGGATGTGGGAAGCAGCACCCAGAGCTGTGCTGGCTCCTCTGTCCCCTCCCACCACATCCCTGTGGGATGGGGCATTCCATGGAATATTGATGGAGCAGTGTCAGTGCTATCACTGCAGAGACATCAGCTGGAATTTTCAGTGGCCATGTGAGAACTCTGTTCAACATCAAACACTTCCATGGCACAATTTATTTTGTGTTTATTTTATTATGCTGTGGAGTTGAACTCAGCTGTGATACTTTCTGTGATCAGCCACAAATCAGTGGTGATTGATTCTAGAATATCCTCTAATTAGAACACAGGAGCCCTGAAAAAATATCCAAAATATTGCCTGCATAGACATTCTGAAGATTGATGTGCAAAAGGCGAAGTCTAATGTGACAGAAGCTTTTTATTTTTAATAAATTGAATTCAGAAGTAGGTATTTTTTCTAGTCTTTGAGACCAGTGGGACCCCAGCAAAAGAATTATGCTTGTCAGAGGGTTTGGCTCAGGAATTTATCATGAGTTTTCATCTCTTGCAAAGCTTCAAGGATTAAACGTTTGAATTTATCATTGTGAGGATGAAAATCAAAGTTTTTCAATGCTTTTCATGGTGAACTAAGCAAAAAAAAAAAAAAAAAAAAGGCATGGGAGGACCTGTGGTGCAAGTACTTGTTGGAGATGGAGGACATTTGGGGTCAAATTGCTGCTTCCCCCAGTGAAGTCCAGCTGCCAACATCTGGGCCCCACATTGGAGATGAATGTCTGTGCAGCCAGCTAATGACACCAGGACTGTGACTTGTCACTGTCTCCTGGTGGGACTCAGTAAATCTCTGTATAATTCTGTAATTACTGGCCACAGAAATTCACTGAGAAGCCCAGTGGTTATGGCACCCAGCTGGGATATCAGAAACCCAGATTTATTTCTGCTAAATGAGGCAAAAAATGGGTTTGAACAAGGGGTTCCAGTGTCCTAAATAAGTGGTGCCATATTAGTCCATTTGCTGATCCATTGGTTTGGTCAGAAATCCCTTTATCCTTCCCTGACCCAGCTTATTGAAAGTTTTGTTGGGAGTGACGTGCTTTGGGGAATAAATAAGCTTTAGATCAAGAAATTGGCTTTTTCCTGCTGGAAAATATTCCACCTCTGCAGTCAGCAGATGTATTTCCCAGGGCTTGAAGTGTGCAGGTTACTGGAGGTACTGGATATGAATATGCAGCTCTTTTTTTTTTACCTGAAATTTCACCTACAGAGTGGGTGATGCTCATTAGCTGCATTTTGCCTCTCCTAAGAATTCCTAACCTATTAATAACCCTCCTGGAGATAAAATCTCTGCAGAGTCTGCATTCAGCACTGGAGTGATTGCTTCTTGTCATGTTTACTAACCCTGAGATGTGTGAAGCGTCCTCAGAGTCCCATCCCTGCATTTCTCCCCCTCTCCTTTCCTTTGCCCCCTGCACTGGGATGTTGCAGGTTCCCTGCTGGACCACTGATGTCTCAAGATGTGGAGCTGCTCTCAGAGCTCCCTGTCGTGACAGGGAGGGGATGTTGGCTGTGCCAGTTTAACTGTGCACAGCCAGGACCTTCTGCATCCTTTGCTGTTTCATTTCATTTAATTAAGCTGCTCATTTTGCCTGTTGATGCTGGTCTGAAGTGAAACTTTGGCCAGTTGGAACTTGCCTGAAATGAAAGCGGGAGGCAACGTCAGCCCTGAAACTGCCTCAGCTCAGTTCCTTCAAGGGGTGGTTCCATCTTGCAGGCTACTTGTTCTGGGATCACCTCCAAGCTGAGCCTCCCTTGGTCTGGGGTGGGCTCCAGCCCAGCTCTGCTCCCCATTTTCCCATATCAGCTCCAGTGGCATTTTGGGCATCCAAATTTGCCCAGGTGTGCCAGGCTTTGAACAAAATGCTGGCATCAGGTGCTGTGGGTGGTGAAACATGGATGCATTAACCATTTATTTATCCTGTGTTTAAGCCCAGCTAGAGCAGCCCTGGTTACAGCCCTAGGAGCTTTGTGCCAAGCCTTCCCTGCAGCCCTGCAGGAATCCAGGCTGAGCCTCCAGGCATGAGGAGGCAACAGAGGCTTCACAGCAGCCTTCCCCTGATCTGGAGATGGAGGAGAGATCCAGGCAGGAGCCTGAGGGCTGTCCTCACCTGCAGGCACTTGCAGTGGGTCCTTAGGAGCTATGTTTGATCCAAGGCTTTTCAGAACATTCCACACTCCCAGGCTGGTTCCTGATCTCCTGGTGATGCCCTGTGCAGGCTGCCCTAGAGCAGAGGCTGGGCAGAGCTACAGAATAAAGCAGGGATTCATTCAAAGCATCTCCTGCATGGATCCACCTTGGGCAGCACAAGAGCCCAGCCAGGGCTGCACCCAAGATGAACCAAAATAGACAAAAAATGAACCCAAGATGAACCAAAATGGCCCCAAAATGCACGGCCGGGCACGGGCTCTGTCCCTGGGATCAGTTCTGCTCCATTTGCATCTTGCAGTTCATTGTCCCATCCCAGCTTTAGCCCCTGCAGTCCCATCCTTGTTTTTCTCTCTCCAGCCAGGGTTTGTGCTCTGGGGCTGAGATTTGGATCATTTGTCCTTGGTGCCCAGCTGGAGCAGGAATTGTTTTGTGTCCCTGCTCTGTGCACAGAGCTCAGCATGCCCTGATGTGAAGCTCAGACCCACACACTAAAGCAGCACAGAACCTGAAAAATAGAAAAGCTGAACCTGAGGCATCACTGGGACCAGCTGGGGCCCCACCAGTGCACAGCCCTCAGTGCCAGGCTTGTCCTTAGGGACCCTTTGGCCTTGAGTGGTCCCTTCCAGACAGCACAAAGGAGCTAAAGAAAGTGCTTGAAAAGAATTGTGTTAAAGTAAAGCCAGAGCAAAGCACAGGACATCACAAACAAGTGTTAAACATCTCCATTCAGTGCCTGGCTTTGGATAGGATGCTCCAAGAACTTTGTGAATGAAGGGATTCCTATTGTGAGTGTTCCAGAACTCAGGGACTTCCTACTCTGAGTAAAACTCATCATAACTCTGTGCCTCTGTGTAAATTAAAATTGGTATTAAAGGCAGAGAATGCAAAGGACGATGTAAAGGTAAATATTTTATTAAAAGTGTATCAAGAGGAAAGCAAAAGGCAAAATTTCAAAAGGTACCAATAATAGAGGAACTTTGCTTTTTTCTGCAGGTGTACCAAAATTCCCCAAAGAAAAAATTGAGCCTCTGGATGTGGAGCATGGAGATTCTGTGATCCTGCACTGCAACCCCCCGAAAGGCATCCCCCCTTTGCATATCTACTGGATGAATATTGGTGAGGAAATGCTTTTTGCACAATTCATACAAGGGGGCTCAAAGAATTTGTCTTTCACAGCAGCTTCATTGCAGATTTGTCATGGGTAGGAATTGTAATTGTGCAAGTGCTTGGGAGAGATATCTGGATATTGAAGTACAAAATTAAAAAATGGAAGGTGGAGATCTGGTTTGACATGACCCAAAGTTAAATTGTTGAGTGCATTGACACAGCTTCTCATTAAATATGAGATATCAAATAATTTATATATTGCTGAATCTATCAGTGATGAGGAGTCCTGCATTTAGAGGAGAGAGGATATCACATGTCAATATGTTATCATCATTGTTTTCCTCTTTCCATAAATTGATGATTGATTTATGATCCTAAGGGAAAAATAATCCACCAGCTTTATATAATTAGTTCCTGGTGGGTTTCTGTCCTGTTATTCCTCAGTGTTTGTGTTCTGCAGGAATTTCTGGCTTTTGGGAAGCAAATAACTCTGGGTTTTAATTATCAATTTTTCCTTATCAGTTATATAGAGATACATTATTATATAAAAATATTTTTAATTGCTTTTATACTGAATATTGGTAAATAACCCATTATCTCTGCTGGATTTTCTGCCTCTTTCACATCAGAGTTTCATTCTCTGTATCTGGAAGGCAGCACATGGGGGGAGCGTTTGGTGAAACAGCCCCGTGTTGTTCCCACCTTATCATTTGCTGCTAGAAACGAAGGAATGAAACTATTTTCAAGCTAAGAATGATTTATGGCTCAGATAAACATCAGTCTCAGAGGCTGAGAGGTTTTAGAGGAGCAAGAACTCGGCCATAGCTCAGAGAAGTCACAGGTTCTTTGTTACAGGGCAATATAGAACTTTCTAAACCAATGGACAGTTGTTACAGGGTTTATTTCGCCTTTCTCTCCTATCATCTTTACTTAATTTTGCTGCACTGTGGATAATTTTACCCATTGGGCTTCTGTCTCACATGCACACATATGCTTTTCTATTATAACTTCTAAACTCTTAGTTTATTCCATCCAGCCACACCCCTACATTATAAACCCTTCACCATTTTATCAGTACAATTTCTCACTTATTTAAGGCATATTCTCACCTACAACTATAGAAGCATAAATTTATGATTTTTCTGCTTAATATCTGTGTACTGTATTTTTGCATCAATCCAAGTGTCCCTCAAGGCTGCAGATCAAACCCTTCAGTGTCTGTGCAAGTTTCTCTCTTTCCGTTTCCCACACCGCCTCACCGTTACTTTCCCTTGCCAGATTTGCAGCACATCCCACAGGATGAGAGGGTCTCCATGAGCCTGAAGGGAGATCTCTACTTTGCCAACGTGGAGGAGAGTGACAGCAGGAGTGACTATTGCTGCTTTGCAGCCTTCCCCAGGCTCAGGACCATCGTGCAGAAGATGCCCATGACGCTCAAGGTTTCCCGCTGTGAGTGTGGGGCTCAGCTCTTTGTTTGCTGCTGCTTTCTGAGCTCCCCAGGCAGCAGTGCATGCACATGTGTGGCTCTCAAAACACAGGGCACCTTGCTGAGTTTATTTCCTGCATTATTAACCTCATTCTTGGGGCTAAATCTCACTGGGAAAAGCTTCTTGCTCCAGCCTGTGTTCTAGGTGGCCATCCCAAGGCATCAGTTTCTCCTGTCCCATCTGGGTCACCAGGAACTGATGCCTTGGAGGGGCTGCCTAGAACAGAGGTTAGACAAAATTAAGAGAATTAAAATGGGTATTTATTAAAGGTCTTTGATAAGCACACCTTGGGCAGTCAAAGCCTCCCAGAGGCGACACCCAAGATGGACAATGGTCACGAGTTTTTCAGACAGTTTTAAGTTTGGTCCATTTACATATCAGGGGTTAATTTTCCAATTACATCTTCAGGTAATGAAGTAATTTACTCCAAGTTCCAGGTTTACCCCCACATTCACTGTTATTTACATTTCCTGGGGCCTGAGACTGTGAAGTGTCCTTGATTGCCAGGCCTGGAGAGGAATTGCTGTGTCTGCCCCAGATGTGAAGACAGTAGCTGACACTCTCTATGGAGTTTAGTTATACACTAAAGCAGTGCAGGGTTTGCACAATTTAAAAGCTAAAATCCTAAGGCATCACAATCAGACCCCAAAAGTGCCCTGTCCTTGCTCCTGCTGTCCCCACAGTGCAATCCAAGGATGCATCAGGGAAATCTGCTGCTCTTGAGTCCAGCAGGTCCCCCAGGAATGGGGCTTCACTGGGTTTGGGGACTTTGTGGCTGCCTCTTCCCTGGGCAAGGCCTGCTTTGGTCCAGCCTCAGCAGTGAGGTTGGAAGGATGATGTTTTCCAGGTTTTTCCAGGCAGCCTGGAGCATCAGAAACACAAGAGGTGTTTCCAGTTCCTTGATGAAATCAAGTGTAGGGAATTTAAGATTTCAGTTGTTCATTGTGGATCTTTCGGACTTACACAGCCCAGAAAGCCAAGGAGAATTTTGTCTTCATGAACGAAACCCTCATGTTTAATATGTGATTTTTGAGAGTTTTCTTGTTGGGATAAAAAGAAAAAAGATTAATAGTGGCTTTGTGTGTTTAACACTTGCTTAGACTGTATCTTGGGGTAATAATTGTGAGAAAAACATCCAAATTCAATGTTGCTCTCCATGGCTTTTCACATGGGTTCAGTCCCCCACACATGCACACAGAGATTAGAGAAAAACAAGATGGGTTTTGGCTGCTGGTAGCCCTGGAAGTGGCCCAAAAAGCCACTTCAGTGTGTCCATCTTGTCATCAAAGCTACAGGACTTGGGCCAGGAAAAGATGAGAGGCACGAACTGAAAGGGTTTTGTAAACTCAGCTTGACAGTGCCCACTCCACCCTGTGCCAAGGGCCTGGTGAGGGACTGCATTAAAAATAAATAGGACAAAAATAAGCAATAAGAAACAGGAAAATGGATAACATTTTATAACATTTCTCTTTGTGGATAGTTAGTGATTTTTATTACTGTAGGTAGCAAGGATGAAATGCTGATTATATCACCCACGAAGTATTTTTCAGAATAACACAAATCTCTAAAGCATTTTCATTGTATTTTCAAAACTCAGTTGCTCATCTGTTGCTTTCTTTTATATTTTTCATTCTTTCTTTCTTTTGGGGCAGAAATTGGTGGGTGGGGAGGGGCATGGTTTTGTTTTGGTTGGTTTATGGTTTCTTTTGATTCTGTCTCAACCCTGCATGTTTGTTTGGTTGTCATTTTTATTTATTTCAGTAAAGCATGCTAATGACTCAGGCTCACCTAACGCTGCTGTTACTAAGGGTGAGTTGAATCCATCTGTTTTTAGCCTTTGAACTGAGACTCCACCAGCTGAGGTGAAATGGGAGCTGCTCAAAAAACACATCACAAAGGCCTCTTGATTGTGATGGGGTGGATTTAAGCAGCCCAGGGAGCACAATTGGCTCATCTTGTAGTTTCTGAGAGCAATCTGCAGGGCTTTTAATGAAAAAGGCATTTTTTTTACTTGAGAAAGAAGCTTTGTAAGGGGGTGGAAGTGAGGACATTGATGTTCAGGGTTTCTCATGTTATCAATTCAGAGCAGGAGCCAGAGCTGGATGCTCCAAATCTTTTTCTGGCAGTTAAAGGAACTCTGGGATGAGAGAGCCAAGGTTTGACACTGTCAATTCATGTCCCAGGGGTCAGCCTGGGGCTGCCTTGCTCCAGGATGAGCTCAGGGTGTGGATTTATGGAGTCTGGGTGCCCTGTGGTGGCTGTCCCCATCACCTCGATGTAGATAAGAGGTGGCTCTGTCTCTGTGGTGCCCTGTGTGCCACCAGCATAGGTGACACTACAGCAAAGCCCTTCCCATCCTATGCATTCCCACTCCCACTGCTCTGCCTGCCCCTCTCTGTGGAGCAGATCCTGAAAATATCCTGCAGGCAGCAGGTGCCTATTCCTGCAATTCTCCACCTGGCTCCTTTTGTTTCAAATACGTGAAATTTAGAAATTTAGACTCTGTAGCTCTTGACTCTTCATTTCTTTGGTTAAATCCCATTTAAGAGTCTTTTTTTCCTTTTTTTTTATGCCCAATTTTAACCTCCTCTGGGAGATTTTTTTTGCCAGACAAGCAGTGAGGTTACCCTGGAGTGTTTTGGGATGGATAACTCAGAGCACTCATCACTCCCCTGACTTTGCCCGTGGAGCTGAGCCCTGGAGCAGCACAGGCAGGGTTTGTGCACTCTGACTGCCCACCAGAAGCTGTTTTTTCCCTCCCAGGGCTGTCTGAACTCATGCTGGGAAGGAGCCTGGCTGCCTTTGGCAGCAGGAGGTGGAGGGCAGATGGGAAATGTGGGAGAGTGTCCAGAGGCACCAACGTGTCCTGCTGCACTCAGGGCACTTGTGACACAGATCTGCACAGATACAAAGCCAGGGTGAAATTAAAATTAAAAATGAGAAAATGGTTCAGGGAGATCTATGTGGTCTTTTACCAAATCATCCATAACTGGCTATTTTTTGAAGAACTAGCACCATTTGGGGACTGATTCATTAGTGTGCTAATTGTTATGATAGTGATAACTGGGCAGCCACTGAACCCTGCATTTTTCATCCTAAAACCCTTGTTTGGCAGGCTGGAACAAATGGGCTATTGGAATCAAATGCAGGTCAATCTTGTTTTATTATTTTTACAGTCTCCCTTACAAATTGTATCTCCATTACTGTAGATTTAATAATTGGAGCAGGAGGGACAATTCTGTGGGATGCTCAAGCCAGGAAAGGTGGGGTTTCACCTGAGGTTTAAAAGATGATGGAGCCAGTGCAGAAGAAAGGTGCTAAGAAAGGAGGTGTGGACTTAAAGATCAGGAATTGAGAGGATCCAGAGGGTCATAGGAAGGGCCAGTGCTTGGAAAACTGGATCTAAAACTGTAACAAAAGGGTTTTCCCAGCACTGCTGCCTGTTGATATCACTGTACCTCCCTTCTGACCGTTATCAGGGCTCTGGATTAGTCTCAGAGTAGATAAATAAAAAAGAAAGCACACAAATGGCTGTCAGAAACCTTCTGGCAGCAGTGATGTTGGTGGCATTATTGAAGAATATCTGAGATTTCCCACCCAACTTCTGTTTTATTTTATCTTTCAGCAAATTTCATCAAGGAAAGGAAGCCCAAACTGCTGATCCCTCCTGAATCTGCTGGCAGTAGCTCATCAGTCACTGTCATCAAGGGAGGTGTCCTGCTCCTCGAGTGTATTGCTGAAGGGCTGTGAGTAATGGAAATGCTGCACAAACTTAATCACCTTTGGAGGGAGAAATGAGCAAAGAAAAAGGGATATTACAAATTATGCAACAGTTTTAAATGAAATTCCTGTGCAGAGCTTTCTGTACCTGTAAAGCAGCACAGAGTGCAGGCAACAGTAGTGTGTTGGTTATTGCTGTGGCTTGTAAACATGTCATTACAACCATGGTTTGGTAAGTATGGATTTTTTTTTTTTAAATTTTTCTATTTTAAAAATGGAAATTTTTTCAGTAGTGCTACTTTTGAGATGTCAAGAAACTAAATAATGTCAGCATCAGCTTCAGTGCTTCTGTTCACAACCTGTAATGGTTTTTTTCTGGTTTTGACAATTCAGTTTTGCTTCAATACTCAAAATTTAAGATTTTCCAGATGTAAGATCTCTGTTTTTTTAGAAACAAAGTCCTTGAGTGATGTTACACATGACATCCTTTAAGGAATGATACAGTGAGCCTGTATCAGCTGTATTAGTGTGATCCTGATCAATCCAAGAGCAAAGGGCAAACCTCAAACCTTGGGCACTGCCAGGGATCCAGGAGCAGCCCCAGCTTCTCTGGGCACCCTGTGCCAGGGCCTCCCCACCCTCACAGGGAAGAGTTTTTTCCTAAAAACCCCTCTAAATCCCCTCTAAACCTTATCTCAGTTTGAAGCCATCCCTCTTTGTCCTGGCTCTCCAAGCTCTTTTAAATAATCTCTCTCCACCTTGCTGAGTCCCTTCAGCAAGGGAATATAGGGAAGGGTTAAAATAGCTGCTTTAGGATGGGAAATCATAAAGGAAAATTTTTGTGAGAAATGAATTTGTAGAGAAGTCTTAAAGAATTCTTTACAAATGGATTCTACTTCCTCTGCAGTGGACAAGTTCTTGTCTTGAACTTGAAAAAAGTCCACGTAGTATGTGTTTGTATACAAATTTTAAGATAAGAAATGCTGATTTAAAAATATTATAGAATAAGACAGACATTGTTGAGAGAGAAATGGAGCTAGAAACAAGTTTTAAAAGGTGATTTTGTAAATAAGGCTAAATATTTTAGAGAAATAGAACTATGAAAGATGTATTGTAGTAGGACCAACAAAGGGTAATTTTAGATGATTGGCTTTTAAACATTTATAACATAATGTGCTAAAAACCAATAAGCTAACAAACACTTATAATGTATCACTTAATCTGATAAATTCCTTGTAAATAACACAGGACAAAATGAGGGTAAGTAAAGAAAGGGACTGGGAGATGAATGTTGAGTTCCCCCTGACAAGGAGCTGGGATTCCCTTCTCAGGGCTGTGGCTGCAGCTCCAGCTCACTCAGCCACGAGCCTGCTTTGCTCTTCCCATGGCCCAGTTTGTCCCCTGTGCCTGTCACTGCAGAATTGGAGCTGCCAGCACAAAACCAGAGAATCTGTGCACCCACTGAATCCCCAGTGAGAGCAGAGTCCCCTCTGGTTTGGCTGGGACAGGGCTTTGTGCAGAGCAGAGCTTTAAATCACCATCCCCTGGTGCTGGACGTGGAGCTGCAGGCTCTGCTTCACACCCAGATAATTCCCATTGAAGGCTCTGCAATTCTATTCCCTCCATAAAATTCCAAAGTCAGGATATTTATCTGCCTGCACATGTTTGGGGCATTTTGTTTTTCCCATATGGGCTTGAAAGGGCATTGCTGGTGGAAGCTGGCAAGGAGTTGAGTTGGCATTCCTGAAAGGAGGTGGATTACTCGTCTCTGTTGGATTCACTCCAGGTATCTGCAGTGAGTTTTGCCTCCCTGTTGCAACATTTCCTTGTCTAATTCACTCCCCACCAAGTGAATCTGCCAGCCCACAAACCTCCCCAAAACCACAGCTCTGATTTTAGAGGGTTTTCAAGAGTTTTTAATATGGAAATCACCTTGGCAATAATCAAATGTGAAATTTGATGTGCAAGGATTAATATCAGATACAAGAAGAGAAAGCCAGAAAAGTCTTTCTGTCCCTTTGGAAAAAAGGTAAAAAGAAAGAAATATTTTTGTTTCACTCTAAATTTTCCAGAAAACTCTTTAGAAAATTAATTTTTTTAACAAAAAAGGGGTTTTTTTTTAAAGCAGTCACTTTTGAAAGAACACAAAGTACTTCTTTTTCATATCACCAAGCACACCTTTTCATTGAAATCCTTCAAAAATGCCAACTCTTAGAATAAAACGTTATTTTTTCTTTGCTAAAATTCCTGTTTTCAGCAGAAAAACGCTCAGCTTTGCCTACATCTCTGCCAATCCACCCTGCCAAATGTCCACAGACCATGGAAGTGGATTTCAAGGAACTCAGATCAGGGGCACCCGACTGCAAAATAGGGAATTAGGGACATTTCCAATCTGTCACTTTTTAAAGATTTATACCCTGAGCAGTGGCAGCGTCAGGAGGGCACGGCCTCAGAGCTGGCTTTGGGACAAGAGTGGGATGAGGGCTCTGGGAGGGAATAATGGGATATTTGCAGGGCTGGTGAAACAGCAGAATTTCTGGGTACCTGGGCATGGAGCCACGGGCACAGATGGGCACAGGAGGAGCAGCTCTGGCGCTGTGGCCGCCTGTCCTGTGAGTGCTGGGGTCACCAACCCCACGTCTGTCCCCAAGTCTGTGTCACTTCTGGCTCTTTCTAGGGATGGGAAGAGCATTTCAGCCACCTCCCAAGCGCTGCAGTGGAGTCTGGCTGTCCTCAGGTGCTCTTGTGGGGCAGGAGGGGATGAGCTCTGGCCCCTTTCCCGCTGTCCATGCCAAGGCACATCCAAGGAATGCAGCTTTGCCCTGGTGGAAATCCCACAGGGAGCAGCAGAGTAGCTGCATAGTGTAACCCTTAGGTAGCCCCAGAGTTTTCAAAGCTTTAAAAGCTCAAAATCCCCTAAAAGCACCTCTCAAACCCTTGGTGTGAACAGCAGCTCTGCCATGTGAAGCATCACAGAAGCTTCTTGTCCTCAACTCAAAATCTTCATTTTTTTCCTTTGTTTTCAGCCCAACTCCTCATCTCAGCTGGGTCAAGGTGACAGGAAACATGCCCAAGGATGAGCCAGAGACAGAGAATTTTGGGAAGATCCTGAAGATTGACCAAGTGACAGCAGCTGATGAGGGGACGTACCAGTGCACGGCCAGCAACGCCGTGGGCAGGGCCAGGCACGAGTTCCACGTGCATGTGGAAGGTGCTCAGTCCTCTTTTCTAAAATTACTGTTTTGGGACTAAAAGGTGGGGAAAGGGAGGTGAAGGAGGCTCTTGGTGAATATGACTCAAGTAACTCCACCAATCAATGCCAGCCCCTTGGATTTGGGAAGGTTTGTACAAAGTAGCACCTCTAAAACAAAGGCGACAAAAAATGTAAATGATGCTTTTTGGTTTTTTTCCCCCTGAACCATGAAGGCCTTAAAAAGCAGGGGACAATATAAATATGTGAGCAGGTTCAGTACTCTAAAGATGTGAGGGAGTCAAGCAGAGATATTGGTGAAATGTCTTGTGCTAAGCTGAAGGTCAGAAGAAAGATCTAATTATTCTTTTTGCTCTTAAAGCAGAAAGTGGCTATGCTGGGCTGGATCAGAGGCACATTTAGCTCAAGTCCCTTTCTTTGGTTTCCACCAAAAGTGGGCTCTTAGGGAGAGCTGGGATAATTCAGTGAGCACAGGTACCACCCCTTGCCTCCTTCACCTGTTCCCTTGCTCTGATTTTTGTACAGGCACAACCTGAGCTGGGAGAGTTTTCTGAAATCCCGAAAAGTATCACAAAACCTGTGAAACAGAGTAAAAAAAGATGCTTTCTACTATTTTTTAGCAGTTAAAAAGTGGAAATATGACTCTTTTTGTCACCTCAATGAGTACCCAAGGCTCCTTTTTCAGTTCTCCCCAATCCCTGAGGTGTGCATGAGGTGGAGATGCCCTTTCCCAGGAGCCAGCAGAGCTCTGAGGAGTTGTTGCAGAACCAAGAACTCTCCCTGCCACTTCCTCTGCCCATAAATAGCTACAAACTGAGAATCCTGAGGCCCAGCTGAAAACATTTGCCTGATGAAAAATGCTCCAACCTCTGCTCAGCACTTAAAAAATAAAACAAATCCCTGGCAGTTTTACCCTGGTAGAACCTTCCAAGGGCTTCATTTTCATCAGGGCTGCTCATCCCTCTGTGGTCACCAGATTTCTGATGGGAGGAGAGCACTTTGAGCTCCCTGCTCTGTATTTGCTCAGCAGCTGAGGAAAATATCTTTCCTCCCAGTGGTTGATGATTCCTCTCCATTCCCTCAACCCAGCCTTGCACCCCTCTTGCCCTTGCTGGGAGTGTGGCAGAGGAGGATCCCAGGGCATGGCAAGTTCTCAGCTGTGGTGGAGGGGAAGTGCTGACTCCTAGAAATCCTTCCAGATGGTTTGGAGCATCTCTGCTGTAGCAGAATATTTTAACAATCTGGCTATGAATTTATCGGCTGCAAAAAATCGATTTCCTTCAAAGAAATTGCAGGAGCTGCAAAAACTAAAATACCAGAGAAATAACATTAATTTTGCAGTTTAGAATGTTGACCTCCTTCTCCCACAGTTTCCAGAGGAAGGAAAACTTCCTGGCAAATTGTTATTTTTGCTTATTAACAAATAAGAACTTAGAAAAAGAGAAAAGAAGGAAATAATCCCACTCCAGCCACTGCAACATAAAAAAATCCTTTTCCAATTGGTATTGAATCCATTTTCCATGTGTGTAACTAAAGGTGGCTCCTGTCAGCAGCAGGGATTCTTCCTATCAGGAGTCACCTCACATCCAAGGAATCAAGGTAAACCTGAGCCCAAGCCCTGCTGTCTCCTGCAGTTGCTGAACAGCGAACGTGGCTGTCGTTAATCAGAGATGGACACGTTCACCACTCCTGCAGGAGCTCCTGGGAGCACACTCAAGGGCACATCCTGAGCATTCATTTCAGGAGGCTTCAGGGAGCTGCTGCTGGTGTTGGGCTCCTCAGACCTGACAGGTTCCTCTCACAGGATGCATGCAGGGAGAAGAAAATGAAATATGGAAGAAAAATTATGTGTTATTAACCTGCAGCCATCCTCAGCGGAGTGCTGGGGTGTAAATCAGGATTTTTCTGTCACTGTGCCGTGTTTTCTGCTCTGCTTTCTGGTATTTGAGGACCTCAAACCAACCCACCCTTCTAAATACCAGTTTTAATGATATTTGCATGCAGCCCACTTCCTAATCCTACCGAGTCTGAGGGCAAAGATTCAGGCAATCATTACCAAGCATATGAAAATATTCAGCAAGCAAATTGTTTGACCGTTTGAGCATTTTAATCTCTCTTTGCAAGGGAAGATGTAGCCTGGAATACCTGAGCAGACAGAAAAACCCCACTGTTGTTATTAAAATGAGAGAGAATTATTTCTAAAAAAAACAGCAAAGCAAGCCCACAAATTATTTTGACTTCAAGTGTTTATTTGGTTGTGGTTTGTAGTTCACCAAACCCAACAGAAAATGAGCATATAACCTCCAAATCTTGCAGGATCATAATGATCTAAAGCTACTTTGATCTCGACTGAGGCTCCTAGGTGGGGTTTAATAGAAATAATTGTTACAATATAATGATTAATTATAGTAATAATGTAATAGCTAAGGGCCTTTGCAGTTATGTCTCATAATACTTTTATTACTCAGCCAGAGCAAAAGAAAAGAGGTTAAATTAATGGGAAGCAGAAGCAGAACTGGTTGTTTTAATCAGGCTCAAGCTTTCTCTTTTGCTGGAAAATTGTTCCAACAGGGACGCAGAGCCCAAGGTGGCAACAGCAGCTGCTGCTGGCCCTGGGGTGGGATGGATTCCCAGCCTTTGGGAGGAGGATTTGAAGTGACAAATTGGGAAGGTGGTGTGGGATAGAAAGGATGGGTTCAGTAACCACGAGCACAGAGCAGTTCTCACCAGGCAGCACTGATTGGCCTCATCAGCACAGGCTGGGAAATGCCTGCTTGGGTTTATTGGGAGAGCCCACAGGGTGGCAGGAGGAACATCTCTGGGAAGGGTTATTCTGGCAGAAAAGGCAAAAATCATCCTGGAAAATAGAAGGAAATGTGTTGTTGTAAGAGGCTGCTGGGAAGTGAGAAGGCCTCACCTGAAGTAAGCAGATTTACAACTTCACCTTCTTCAGGAAAGGTCAGGAGAAGGCAGCAGGGGTGGTCACAGGGCTCAAAATCATGACATTTGGGGGAAAAAATAGAGATATCTTTAATTTAGGAGAAATTACAGCTGGGGAATGCACAACAGCCTCCAGAGGAATGGAAGATTCTCCACCAAGTTCCCTGGGGAGAGTTAAACTGAAGCTGGTTAGATGTCCTGAATTTGTTCTACTCATGGGGAGAATACAGTGGGAGAGGCTGAGGGGAGAGTTTGGATCCTTTGTGGGTATTTCAGATTCTGTTGGAGATGCCCATTTTTGATCCTTTTCATTCCTGGATTTGTAGTATTTCCCATAAAGACATAAATCAATCAGGAGGAGCAAATTGATAACTCTTGCCAGGAAGAGTAAATGATGCAGTGAAATATTTGCCATCCCAGATAAACTATTTGATTATCCAACCCCTGGATTTTGTAGTTGCTAAAAATATGTGTATATTTTCTTATATTTTGTACACTTTAAGTGGTATAGCACATCTGCCACGTGGAAAAGAGGTTCTTCAGCCTTTCTGTGAAATTGCATTTCACACCTGGCAAAATCTCATTGCCTCTGACTTCACAGCCTCTTCAGTTCCTTGGAGCACCCACAGCAATTCCAGTGCTGAGAATGGGGAGCAGTGACATCAAATATCAGCTCACAGCTCCAGAGTGTGGGCACAGGTGGGGGTAGGAAGGGATCCTTCAGGTGGTTTTTATTCAGACTGTGCCTGGTGTCTCCAAATCAAGGAGATATCCTAAGTTTGTGGCAGATTTAGAGAAAAAATTCCAAACCAGCAATTTAATCAGAACTGCTACAAACCTTTTCACCTCCATGCTTTTGACTCATCTTTTCCTGGTGAAACCATGGTGTGTATGAGAGAGAAGAAAAAAGAGCTGCAAAACCAAAATGTTCTGGTGTTTGCAGAGATTTTCCCTGGAGCCAAATACCAGGAAAATGAACAGATGTGGTCATGTCACTGTGGGATGGCAAGAAGCACTGAGTGAGGATGTTGGTAGAAAAATCCCTGCTGTGTGAAGGAAGTGGGATCATTTTATCATTTTAAATAAGCTTCAGTGGTTTGAATTTGACTTCAGTCTTTATATGTTAATTAAACCATTCCTGGGTGCTCTCCTGTGGGAATGCTGCTCTGGGTGTGGAAATGCATCCCACTCTAGGGGTGGTTTTTTAAAATATCTCTGTGAGTGTGAGCAGTGGTGTTTTGCTTTAGCATATCTCCCTGATAACATCTGTTGCTGCATTCCCAGGCAACAGCTCTGGTAATCTTCAAAGCATTTTATGAGCATTAACTAATGAATCCTCAGGTTTTCCCTACATTACCTCACCTTTTTAATAGGGAAAGAGGCCTAGTGATCTTCCCAGCACTTGCAGAAGAGGCAGTGTCAGGTCTGGTGTAAAAATCTCAAAGTTTGGTGCCTTTCAAGGGGAAATTATCAATTCAAGGCTGTGTTTTGGGTTGAGGCTGCCCACTGAGAGCTCAGGGACCTGCGTTCAGTCAGAATTAAGCATTTATGAGATAAATTCCCTTTTCCCCCCCTTCATTTCCCTTCTCTCATTATGGATGTCTGTTCCACACGCGGTTTGGGTACCTGATGCTCAGGGGCTGCTCAGTTTTCCCAGAGCTTCGTGGAACAGCTGGGAAAGGAGAGCAGGGGGAATGCAGCAGCACATGGCTGCTCCTCTACCACCACCCTGTGGGCACCCAAAGCACTCATCCCCAGCCACGAGAGAACGTTTTACCATTCCTAAATGTGGTGTGGATCAGCCTCTGGTCTGAGCACAGCATGGAAAAACAGGAAATCAAGGTGATGGTGCATTTCCTCGGCACAGAGAGAGGGGCAGGTGGATCAAAGGTGGATCAGTGCTGTCCTGGAGCTCTGTCAGCTCCCAGGGAAGGTGATGGGAGCCATTGCTCGTGCCTGTGGAGGGGAATTTGAGCTGGATGGATGTTCCCACCTTGTTTGTCTTGCTGCAATAGCCTCACCTTAATTCATAGATCACACTCAGATCTGAGGGTCCTTGTGGAAATGCTGACCCATTCCCTCCTTCCCAGCCTCTCCCTCCCTGTGCATCCATTTCCCACCTGGATGAACACTGCGTGTTCCTCCACCCAGCCTGCAGGAGAGCACTGGCGGGTGCTGATGCCAATTCCACCTCTCCTTTACTCGGGAAATACAAGGAATGCAGCTCAGCCATTGATGGATGGGCTGTGAGCAGCGGCTGGGAAGTGTTGGTGGCGTTTGCCATCTCGTGGAGAATCCCAGCAACAGCACAGGGGCTGTGACTGTGATGCCTCAGGATTTCAGCTTTTCTATTTTCCATACATCCGTAACCCTGCAGCTCTTTAGTGTGTAACTCCAAACTCCACACTCAGTGGGAGCTGCTGCTTCCCCATCTGGGGCAGACACAACAATTCCTCTGCAGGCCTGGCAATCAAGGACACCTCACTGCCTCAGGGCCCAGAGATGGGAACAAAAGGGACTTGGGGGAGCAAACTTAGGCTCAATGCCTTCATTACCTGAAGCTGGAATTGGCAGATTCACCCCCAAAATGCAAATGGACCAAACTTATAAAAGTGTGAAACCCTGACCCATCATTCATTTTTGGGTGCAGCCCCTGGGGCTGCCCTAAATGTACCTGAAACCCTTCAATAAATAGAACAGCTTTTAATTCCTTTAATTTAGTTTAGCCTCTCTTCTTAGGTCCTCCCAAAAAGGCATCAACTGATCCCTGCTCTGTCTCTTTTCCCAGAGCCTCCCCAGTGGCTGAAGAAGCCCGAGGGTGGGGTCTACAGCGTGGGGGCAAACCTGGTGCTGCTGTGCGAGGCCATCGGGAACCCCGAGCCCAGCATCCAGTGGAAGCTCAACGGGATGCCCATCGATGGTAGGTGCAGGGGCCAGGCTGCTCCTCCAGGCCCTGCCCAGCTGGGGTGTGCTGGGATATTTTTGGGGTCCCCTGTAGCAGGAAGGAGTGATGAATCTGACTCCGTGTTCTTAGAAGGATAAATTATTATTCTATTCTATTCTATTCTATTCCATTCCATTCCATTATATTACATTACATTACATCATATTATATTATAATCCTATACTAAAACTATACAAAAACTATACTAAAGAATAGAGAAAGGATACAGTCAGAAGAGAATGATAACTAAAAACTCGTGACTCTCTCCTGAGGGTCCTGACACAGCCTGACCGTGATTGGTCATTAAATCAAAACAATTCACAGCAGAAACCAATCAAACAATGACCAGTTGGTAACAATGCCCAAAACACATTCTAAAGCAGCAAAACACAGGAGAAGCAATCAGATAATTATTGTTTTCATTTTTCTCTGAAGCTTCTCAGCTTCCCAGGAGAAGCAATCCTGGCAAAGGGATTTTTCAGAAAATATGATGGTGACAGTGTGCCTCTGTATCACCCAATTTGAAGGGACTCACAAGTCCAAACATGCTGAGTGATGTCTGGTTTGGCACCTCTTTAGATATTAATTGTTTATTTACTTAAATGAACTCATATTCAAATAGGATTCTTGAAGAGGGTGGTGGTGAACACTGCACATGTGGAGCTGTGGTACCTTTGAGGTGCTGCCCAGTAACTCTCCCATCTTTTGGGTATCTGGGACAGCTCAAGGGCTCCTTTGTGCTTCTGAGTAAGCCCAGGGAGCTGGGGAGCAGTGGTGTAGCAGTATTATTATCATTTCAAAAATCTCTGTGGGGAATTTACTGGAATTTGGTGCTCTGGAGCACTTCCCTCAGGCCATGGGACTGCTGGCAAAGGCAGAGCCCTGGAGCTCACAGCTGATGGACACGGTTTTGGTTGGAACCTCAAGACGTTCTTTCCTTTGTCTTCCAAGCAGTGAGGAGAGCCTGGGAGCTCCCCAGTAGCAGAGCTCCTCCAGCTGCTGACACAATCTGGTGTTTTCCAGGCAGGACCTTCCGAGGGAGAGTCTCCACCAGGGAGATCAGCCTGACCAACCTGCAGCTGCAGGACAGCGCCGTGTTCCAGTGCGAGGCCACCAACAAGCACGGCACCATCCTGGCCAGCGCCAACATCAACGTGCTCAGTGAGTGTCCCGGGCTGTCCCCTCCCAGAGAGCACATCCACAACCCCAGCTGAATCCTCACAGCAGCCTGGGACTTGTCACCACCTCATGGGTCCTTTGGGTTCCTCATGGTTCCTTTGGGTGCCATGGTTGGGCATCTCATGGTTCCTTTGGGTTCCTCATGGTTCCTTTGGGTGCCATGGTTTCTTTGGCTGGTCATGGGCATCTCACAGTTCCTTTGGGCTCCTCATGGTTCCCTTGGGTACCTCATGGTTCCTTTGGGTTCCTCATGGTTCCCTTGGGTACCTCATGGTTCCTTTGGGTTCCTCATGGTTCCCTTGGGTATCTCATGGTTCCTTTGGGTTCCTCATGGTTCCTTTGGGTGCCATTGTTGGGCATCTCACAGTTCCTTTGGGTTCCTCCTGGTTCCCTTGGGCTCCATGGTTGGGCATCTCACGGTTCCCTTGGGTACCTCATGGTTCCCTTGGGTACCTCATGGTTCCTTTGGGTTCCTCATGGTTCCCTTGGGTTCCATGGTTGGGCATCTCACGGTTCCTTTGGGTTCCTCATGGTTCCTTTGGGTTCCATGGTTTCTTCGGCTGGTCATGGGCATCTCATGGTTCCTTCAGAATGGCCCCAGATTTTCAGAAACATTGTTCAGATTGATGCAACAGGTTTTATCATGGGCAGTGTGATGTGCTTAGCACAGCCACTCCTGAGCTTTGGAATATTTTAAAAATGTGGTTGTGGTTGGGCTCAAAAACTTGAATTCAAACACACTGGGGACTGAACTGTGGCCACAATGCTGGCTTTGAATTTTTAAGTGTATTTTTAATCTTTGATTTTAGTTGTGATGCTCATTCTGTTCCTTGAAGAAAGGCAGTGAGGGGAATTTATTTAATAAAAGACATCTTTGGAGGCAGCAGAACTGGGGCTATTTTCTCTCCTGGATGCTTCAATTTCTGCCATGTCTAGCAGTAAACCCCTGTTATCTCTGTCAGTGAAGATTCTGAGAGCTCAGCTGTGTAGTGCAACTCTTCCAAACAGCTGTGAAATTCCCATTAAACACCTCAGCCTCCTACCCTTGCTGGAAAAGGGCAGGATGCAGGGCCAGTATTTATATTCCTAGTTCTGAAATGCATTGCTGCTCACCCTGAATTCTCTCCTGCAGATATTGCCCCCCTGATACTGACCCCAGATGGGGAAAACTACGCCACGGTTGTGGGTTACAGCGCCTTCCTGCACTGTGACATCTTTGCCTCACCTGCAGCAGATGTCAGATGGTAAGATACTGGAAATTGGGGTTTTTTTCACGTGAAACAAGTTCCTGTAGGCTTCCCCAAGTTTGAAAAGTCTGCTAGTTATTATTTCTATGGAGTTAAGAGTAGAAATTTGCAACAAAACACTATATAATGTAAATTTTCTGGTTTTAAATGTGCTTTTAAGAATTCTGAAGAACTGGTTTGGAAAAAAGAGTTCCTGGAAGTCTTCAATACATGTTTGAGACAAGTGCCAGGCTATATACATTAAACAAAACCAGGCTGTTAATAGCCAAATCCTGCTGCAGCTTCATCAGTTTAATGCTGGCAACCCTTCAAGCTTGGACACACTATTGAGGTGGAAGTGCAGTGACTTACAGAGCACATTTACCTGGACATGCTTCCATAGGCTTGGAAATCACAGGATTGTCACAGCAGGTGACAGGTGCAATAAAATTGCAGGTGGCAGCTGCAGATTAAAGACAGAGCATTTTAGAGAACTTTTTAGACTCTGTCCCTGTGGGTTTGATGTGCAGAACTTTATGATTTGCTGCATGAAGTATCTCACTAATCCTGACTTTAAATGCCCAGTGGCAAAGCTGAGTCCCAAAATTCCCCTGCAATGACCCCTAACCATGAACTGACACTTCCTGCAGTAACCCAGGCCTGTTTCCATCACTTTTAGGACTAAGGATGACAGCATAGAGCCCCTTTCAGCATTTCACTACGAGTTATACAAGAACGGCACCCTGGAGATCAGGGACACGAAGAAGGAGGATTCAGGGTCCTATGCCTGCTGGGCTGCCAATTCTGTGGGGAAAAGAGCAATCACTGCTAATCTGGATATAAGAGGTGAGAAAAGAAAAAAAAAAACAACTTTCCCAGCTGCTAAGATTTTATGTCTACAGTTTTTCAAGAAGTAGTGAATATTCAGTCCAGGGTACAGATTTATTCTGTGACTTCAGGAATTCTCTGTGACTTCAGGAATTCTCTGGATATTACTGACAACCTGAAATTGTCACAGGTTTCATATATATATATATATATATATATATATATATATATATATATATATATATATATATATATATATATATATATATATATATATGTAGTCTTTAACTTTTCAGCTGGATTTCTCCATGCTCTCACATGCTGCTCATTTTCTTCTGGATGCTTGCAGAAGCTGAACAAGTCACCAAAAATTTGCATTTACACATTATCTTGAAAGGATTTTCCCTCCTTTTTGTCACTGCCCTGTTACACTCAGGGCAGGCTCTTGGCTGACCCTGTGCTCCTGGGCTTGGTTGATCCAGATGTGCTCCTGCTTCTCCCTCAGCTGTGGGATTCCCTTCCCTAAAATTCCTTCCCATTTGTTTGATCAGAAGCCACATCCCAAACTGGATTAACTCCCACCAAACACATTGCAGGGTGTGCTGCTGCTTGAAGGATTTTGCACTGGGCTTTTGCCTGTTTGTTGATAAATATTTTTAAACAGAGCAAATAAAAATCCTCAGATGTGTTTACTTATAAACTTGAGATCCATCCCTTGTGCTGCAGCTCTGCTTTAAGGGATTTGTGTGGTTGGTTGGCAGGAGGGGTTTTCCCTGGAGGATGTGATGGGAGTGGGCAGCTCCTGTTGGGCACACAGGTGGCATTTAGTGGGTTTTCTACAAATTTGCTTAGGATTTAGGGCTTGCCAATAAAAAAAACAAAACCCTTAAATACTCAATTAGCAAAGCTCTCTGATGTAGGTTTGCTGTGACAAACTTGAGGAAGAAGCTCACTCATTGTGTTCCATTTCCACCCACTCCCTTGGCTTTGGGAATTTTACAGTGCTAATAAACATGAAAATGTACAATGAAATTCTCACAGAGCAACATTTCACTGCAGAAATAAATTCAGCTAAGTGCTTTCTTCTTACTTATTCATCTGTTTCTGTATTCAGATTATAGTCAATTAAAAGAACAAACTTGATTGCAATAATTTTTTCTCACTTGACTTTAATATGCTTGTAATTTTTCTTGGATCATTGCCAAAGCTTATTTCAAATGGCAATTAGACATAAAAATCATATTCAAGCCTTTTCTTTTTTTATCATCCATTTCATGACAAGCTGCTAACAAGGATTTTCACCTGTAACTTTTTTTTTTTTTGAGGATTTTTTTTTTCTGGAGCTCTTTGGTTTGGAGTGAACTAAAAAATGTTTCAAGATAAAAAAGAAAAAACATTTGAAGATCAAAAAAATGTTTCAAGATAAAAAAAAATGAAATCTTGGCAAATATCTATTTCAAACCCCACCATCCTTCACTTGAAATGTTTGTATATATAACAAAAAAGAGACGTGGTTGTTGCTCCTGAGGTTGATTTGTGTAGATGAAGTGCTTGGTGAAAATCTGATGTAATAGCCCCTCTCTCACCTAATCAAAGTGTTTTTCTGTGATCAATCAGATGCTACAAAACTTGTTGTTACTCCGAAGAACCCCCGAGTGCTGAAATCACATTCCATTTTATTGAAATGCCAGGCTGAGTATGATTCCCACTTGAAACACAGTTTTAAATTATCCTGGAGGAAGGATGGAGGTGAGCTGCCAGCCAACAGCACAGAAGGTGGCAGGTGAGTGGGGAAGGAACAAGGCTGTTCTTGATCTCAGCTGGATAATCTGGTGTGGTGCTGGAGCTGGAGTTTCATTAAGCATGAGCCTTAATAGCTTGAAATGCAAATTTGTGTCTGCAAAGAATTCTCCATGTGATATGTGAGTGGATCTGCATTTTACACACATCTGAATATAAATGCAGCAGTGTGAGTTTTGAGCCAAATGGGTTTGGGTTTATTAACTCTGGTACCATCATAGCAGAATATAAAGTTACATATTAATATATACATAGTACATATCTGTATTTTTATGAATAATATAAATATTGGCCCAACCCAGAACCACAACCCTGATCCCAGTGCAGGTTGTTTCTCCACTACAGTGGAACCAGTACTGTCTAATAGTTTGCACTTATTTGGCCAAAACAAAGTCTTTGCCATGTTGAAGCGATGGTAAACAGATTTCAGGGATTCTGCCATGAATCTTTCCTACATATGAGTTTAGGATTTGCAGGCTGAATTTTGCCCTATTTTTGGGTTTTCATTGACCTCAGGAGGCTGGAGTTCAGTCTTTATTCCATAGAGGGGCCCCTCAGGGGGAAATCAGATGTCTTTATTAATTACCACAGGGGAGAGATGATTTCCTAAATATGGAGAGGCTGAAAGTCCTGCTGGGCCCTCGTAGGGTGGTGAGGCCGTGCCATGGAAACTCCATGTCTACCATGGAGCCCACAGCCTTGGATTCTTTGCTCTGCTGCTTTGGACAGGACACAAGTGCCCTTGGGAATGCTCAGTTTCCCTCAGTCTTGCAAAAATTCCATCACAAACCCCATATATTTGTCTCATTAATGACATGCCAAAATCCTACGGCTCAGACGCTCATCCAGTGCTTCTTTTCAGAGCAGGATTGACAGGCCAGCCTCCAGCCATGGAGGCTAAATTGCCACAAAATACAAATAATACTCCTCAGCACAGTGTAGAGCAGAGCCACAATTACATTTTAATGTAGCAGGCCCAGTGTGCAGCTATTTGATGAAAGTATGAAAGTGCCCTGTGCCAAGTTCTATTATGAACAATTTTTCAGGGAACAATGTCTGTGTGTCATACTCATCTTACATATTTTTCTCATCCTTATTACCTTTTTTTTTTTCTTCCTTGCAGGATAATTTTGGACAGGGATACCCTGTTCATATCCAGTGTGCTCCTGGAGGATCAGGGAGTTTACAAGTGTGTGGCCAGCACTGCCCTGGACACTGCTGAGGCCGAGGCACAGCTGATAGTTCTGGGTAAGGTCAATTTGCAAGGAGTTGCAGCAGGAATTGCCACTGCAGCACTTCTTTGCTTCCTTTCACAGAGCCTCAATAACCCAATTTCACACAGCCTCTCACTCCTTAAGCTCAGCTGTGCTGTCCCTTATCTCTGGGAATGGTGATGCTGACACCAGCTCAATTTATTTTCATCTTGGCTGTAGCAAGGTGAGGCAGCATTTTTGCCTCAGCTCAGTGGCTGCAGGAGTTGCCCAGGCTGGAAGGTGTGAGAGCATACTAAGAGTGGTTCTGCTGCTGCTTTGAAATCCTTGGTCAGTCCTTCATAAGAATTGGATTGTTTTTTGAAGGCCATCAGGCCAATATTTGGATGTGCAGCTCCTCAGAAGATCACTGCTGGTTAAGCACCTAAAAGGAATTTATTTTATTTGTGAATTGAGCATGAATGATTGTCCAGGGGCAAAGAGAAGAGCCTTGACCCCCTGGGTCAGAAGCTTGGCCTTGTGAGAGCATCCTCACCACCTGCATCCCTCCCTGAAGGACCCCTTGGAATTAAAAGGACGAATTTGTGGAGTGCTGTGCACCTGTTGCACCCAAGGGCAGCAGCCAAAATTCTGCTTTGTGGTTACAATTTTGGCCAGCCTGGTCTAGGTGAAGGTATCCCTGCCCATGGCAGGGGGCTGGAATTAGGTAATCTCTAAAGTTCTTTCCAACCCCAAACCATTCTGTGATTTTATGATTCTCTGTCAGCTTTGCATAATTTTAAGTACATTTATTTTTGCTTCATTTTACATTTGTATTTATTGCTGGCAGTGATTGCAGAAAGAAATAAGTCAATCTGCCCTTCAAGATGTTTTCCATTTTAAAGGAGTGATATTTTTCAGTAAATAATAAATTAGGAAGATGCTGTGTACATTATTTATGGTGCTGTGTCCTTCGGTGCTGTATAATTCAAAATGTTTGTAGATTATTCGTTACTTCACTTATGAAAATTTCATAAAGCATTTTATTCCTCTTTAAAAAGGTGCTTTGCAGAAGAAGAAAAACAGTTTTGTGCTCTTTTCCCTTGTTTATTGCATATGAGAAATGTCTTGGTGAATTAACAACATCTTATTTTCCAAGTGAAAAATTCAGGTTTTTGCAATCAAGGACTGGTGGGCTGACTGAAGAACTAAATAGAGACATCAGGTTAGGGGCAACTAAGAGTAAAATAAATATTCAATTACAATAATTCTAAGTATTTGTTGTGTGTTTAATGAACAGGTAGAGGGGTGAGAATATTTAAGATACACCATCACTATCTTTAAATTAATATATTGAATTTTAACCAGCTGTACTCCGAGGATAGAGCAGCAACATGCCTGCAGATTAAACTGTGCTTTCCTGATATTTTCCCAGGTATGAGAGAAATAGGGAAAGAAATAAAAAGAAAAGAAAAAAAAATCTAAACATAAACTTTTAAACTTCTTGATGTATCCTGAGATAAAAACTCAGTATTGTAATTTTAAAAAATCAGTACAAACGCAGTGAATTTTTTTTCACAATGGCAAAGACAGTTGTGGTGGTAGAAATCACTGATTTTTCTGTAAGAAATGACATTGTCAGTCAAAAGTTTAGTTGGGACAGCATTAGTTGAGCTGGCAGGTAGTGAATTTCCCAGTTCCCCATTAATGCAGATCCCATGGCTGGGATAATGAATGTTCTCCTTTCCCTCACACCCTCAAAGGCAAAGTTCAGTAACTGCCAGAGCTGAGGCTCCTTCTCCCACTCTGCCTTGTCCCAGGGTAAAACCCCGTGATGCTGGACCTGCCCAGAACAGGGTCAGTACCCATTAATGGCTAAGCAAACCTTGGCAAGCACAATACTGCAGGTAGGGGGAAATGAATTCCAGAAGGATTCTGTGCTTAAGGCAAAAATCAGCACCTGAAGATTCGGGATCTTTCAAAGCAATTCCCACTTTCCACAACCTGTCCATCTTGAATCAGGAGGTGTTTCACCACCATCTTCACTGACTGTGCTGTTCCAACCCTCTGGAAAATGCCAGGACATACAGAAATACCTTTGCTGTGCTCCTGACACTTCTTTATTTCTCAGATGTTCCTGACCCACCAGAAGACCTCCAGCTCTCGGAAAACCGAAACCGGAGCGTTCGACTCTCCTGGAAAGCTGGGGCCAGCCATAACAGCCCTGTTAATGGTAGGAAGGGGTTTTCAGCATAATTTTTAGGGCTGTTTAAAATTCTGGCATGTCCTGATTGTCACAGGACACAAACCCTGCTGATGGCCAGGTTTAATCACTTTAACTATGACAGTTTGTTTGTTGCAAGTTCATTTCCACCCGCGCTGTTCACACTAAGTTGGATTTTTTTTAATCTTTTTTTACTTTTTTTTGGTCGTTTTTCCTGCTCAGAGTCAATTATAGAGTTTGAAGAGAACCACTGGGAGCCAGAAACGTGGCAGGAGCTCATCAGAGTGCCAGGGAATGACACCACAGCCCTGCTGCCCCTGGCCCCGTACGTGAATTACCAGTTCCGCGTGGTGTCCGTCAACGCCGTGGGCAGGAGCCAGCCCAGCAAACCATCCCTGCGCTATGCGACCCCTCCAGCTGGTAAACCTGGCTCTGCTTTCCTAAATATTCACAATTTCAGTCCTTTTTTTGGAGTATCTGTGCCCTCCCATGCTCCAGAGGGTGTGAAGGAATCACGGTAGCTTGCGCTGCTCAGTGGCAGCCTCAGGGATTTTTAAAAGTAGATCTTGTGGTGGGAATTACCCCCCCCAATAGCTGGTTTGGTGGACTGGAATAACCCTCAGTAATTTTGGTGGGGCAGGTGACCATTTAGATTAACTAAAGCAGTGCATTTTCAGAGAAGTAAAATCATCTGGAGGATGTCTCGTGACAAGCTATATTCTGATATTTTCGCTATTAATGCGATGGGTGCCCTGCTGGGGTGAATTCTTCAGTGATTGGTAAAAAAAGAGCAGCCCAGCAGTTGCACATCAAATGTCCAGGCATTGTTTTGAGCATTTGATGTGCAGTTAGAACAAATCTAAATTTTAATGACCCAACTTGCTGCGCTGCATTAAATTCCTGAGGGTGCCAAAGGCAGGAGCCCACGCTGCTGAGTTTTCCTACACCTCCAGCACCTCACTCTGCTGATTTTCCACCCTTTGCAGACCTTCATGGACAAACAGTTCCTGCAGAAGGGCTGGGTTTAGAAGGAGCCTTTCAGGAGCACTTGTCAAAAATCTCCATTTGTAGAGTATTCACTGTGACAGAAAATGTTGTCTCCCTGAAAGTCATTTTAGAGGCCAACTGTTCAGCACAGCATTTGCATTCCTTGGCATTTTGTCTCTTTTTTCCCCCCATTTGCACCAATTTCAGCTCCCTCCTCAGCTTTCCAGCTGTGTGTGCACCTCTAATGATGCACCTTCTGTTTGCTATCCCCACAGGGAGAAAAATCTCTTCCTCAGAATCCCCCCACATCTGGTGCTTTCAAATCCAAAAGTCACAGTTCCATGTTAGCTGGTGGCTCCAGCCAGCAGGGACACTTAGGAATCCAAACTGCATAAACAACGTGCTTGGGTCCCATCAGCTTTGCTGATCCAAGCCATTCATCTCATGAACGTTTTTTGTTTAAGTGTCTGTCACTAATAGGGGAATTTCCCATCCTTTTTGGCATTTGAATACCGAATGCAAATAAATGGGATGTGCAAACTGACCTTGTCACCTGTGTGGTTTCAGCTCCAGATAAAAACCCAGAGAACATCCGAGTAGAAGCTTCTGAACCCAATGAAATGGTGATGAAATGGGAGGTAAGGCAAGATTAGCAAATCCTGTAGGAACGATCCTTTATTCTTCTGAAAGACGAATTTGACTTAAATTTATTCTGCATTTTCAACCCCAGTATAATTTTTATTTCAAAAGGCTGTTTTTCATGTCTGACTTCACAAGGTGTTAAAAAATATGGAATTCCTGTTAAGCACTTTGAGAATTTACCAAAATTTGCTCTTTTCTGCTTCTTGTATGCAAGAAACTGCTTCAAATAATTGTGGTCTTACCCTGCTCTGCAATTAAAATTACCAGCCAGGCCCAGAGAGGGGATGGGTGGCTCATGGCTTCTGCCCTTGCAGCCTGGAAGTTTAAAAACACCACAGATCCCTTGCCCAAGAGAATGTGAGCTTGAATTTTTACACCAAGAACTAAAGGAATGTGGATAAACCTCCAAAGCCTGTGATGTGCATCCAAGGAATTATGTAAAAGTCTTGAGGATGGTTTCCAGGCTTCAAATTTCCTGGGTTTTAAGCCTTGAGCTTCTGTGCCAGCAGTTGAGTTATGTATTCCTTCATTTAGCACAAATATCCACAACTGTGCAGGGAAGCAGGTTTTTGTTGAGGCTGGAATTACACACAATTTGCATGAGATTTACTCCTCAATCTGCTGCTCCCAGCAAAGAGCAACAAATGTTTCCCCAGTGGGAAGTCATGGTTTGGGGTAGAATTTCATCCAAAAGGAGATGGCCCTCAAGATCCATGGGCTTGGACTTGAATGGGATTTTTAGCCCAGGGTCAGGAGAGACAATTCTGCCTCTCAGAAAAGGTTGGATTTGATCTTGGAGGTCTTTTCCAACTTTAATGAATCCATGAAACGCAGAGTTTTATTACCCCATATGTTTACTGGGAAGTACTGGGATTTGAGCACCAGGAACTTCATAATCACTGCTCAGACAGGGCAAGAGTGGAAGTGAAATCTGAGCCTGAAAGGAGAGAATGGGATGGAAGGGCTTGGTTAAATCTTGTTGAATCATTAAAATGTTGTTAAACAGGATATTCATTTATTTATGGCATTTCCTGTGTGCTTTTCAGAGGAACTGCTGGGCGCTGCACAGGCTATTTCTGACAGACAAAGGCTGCAGAATGATCTTAATCTGCCTATTTTGGATTAAGAGACCAGCTGAGCTTTAGTGACTGGGATTTTCAGGCGAGGATTTGCAGCTTGAAGGGAGATCAAAATAAAAGTCAAGCAGTGCTGCAATTTAACTCTATCCAAGAAATCAGTTTTTTAGGAGGAATTTTTTACTTCTCCAGCTTCTCTTGCAAATCCCATTCCCTGGGATCTTCGCTGTGAGAAAGCTGCCCAACCTCCCAATTCCTTTGCCTCAGACACCCCAAAGGTCCTCACAGCACAGCAGATCAGTGGGAATTTTTGCAGATCCCCCAACTTTAGGTCTCCCCATGCATGAGGAACATCAAAGGGGAATAATTTTCTACTGGTATTTGATGATATTTCCTGTCAGACCTCTTGGATACAAACTAGCTATTATATATTTCATATTTACCTATATTAAAATATTATTAAAAGCAGCCTATATGGTGGGAAACACCAAGGGCTGTTCCATTGTTTAGCTTTTTTGGTAGGGTAGGTGATTATTTAACTTTCTTAATTAAAGTAATGCGTTTTCAGAGAAATAAACTCAGTTTGAGGATGTCTCATGACAAGTTATTGCTATATATCTCCTAATATTTTATAAATTCCTGTTAATTACCTGGAAACCCTGCTGGGAAGAATTCTCCAGCTGATTGGTAAAAGCAGAGTGGCCCAGCAGTTGCACATTAAATGTCCAGGCGTAATTTCAACCATTTGGTGTGTAGTTAGAACAAATCTAAATTTTAATGACCCAACTTGCTGTGCTCCATAAAATTCTAGGATAAAATGCAAATTTTATCTCTGCTAAAAGGCACACACAGCCTTATGCCAAACTGTGCAATTCAGTAGTGCTGAAGGCGTGTGGTTTTACCTCACACAGGAAAACCTGTGGCAAAACAAAACCTGATGTGTGTAGGAGGCAGAAATGTGGCTCCTAGCAATTAATCTGGATTTTAATCCAAGCCTTTCACCCTCCTTTCTCATGAAGTCATGTTGTTGTTCTTCCATTCATACTCAAATTAAAATGACAGCAAAAACTCAAAGCTTGGGGTTTTTGCCCCTTTTCTCTCCCAGTGTTGTAACACACATTCCAAAACTGTTGCCCTGTTCTTCTAAGTTCTTCTAAGCCTTCTGATGTTTGCATTCTTGTAATGAACTTTTTCACACACTTTATGTAAATAATTATTGTTTTTACATTCTTCTCTGGAGGAGGAGGAATTTGATGGACTGTTGTCTTGTCCAGTGTCATTGGAGAGGTGGCGCTTTCATCCTCCAATCCCCTGTCACTTTTGAAAGTCTATAAATGTTGGGGTGAAAAAATGAACTTCCCTTCTTTTGACCTTGGAGGTTCCAGCGTGAGCGTCGTTTTATTTCGTGTCCTAGAATGTCACAGCCATATTTTATGAAAATCCTTTTGTTAGGATCTTTTCTCCTGAGAAGCTTCAGCTTCTCCATGTTTTGCTGCTTTGGAATGTGATTTGGAGAATTGTTTACCCAGCATGTGAAATTGTTTTTACTTGATGACCAACGACAGCCACCTGTGTTGAGGCTGTGAGCAGTCACAAGATTTTATTATCATTCCTTTCTTTTCCTTGCTGGGCTTCTGATTAAATCCTTTCTTCTATTCTTTAGTATAGTTATAATATATCATTTAATATATAATATATATCATAAAATAACAAATCAGCCTCCTGAAACATGGAGTCAAGATTCTCATCTCTTCCCTCATCCTGGGGCCCCTGCAAACACAAACACACCAGAGCGACACAAAACCATCCCCACTCCCCTTGGCTGCTGTTTGGTGATCCCAACAAAGACAGACAAGATCTCTTTTAATTCTCCCCAGCCACTGAAGCCCATGGAGAGGAACGGGCCGGGACTGGAGTACAAGGTCAGCTGGAGGCAGCGGGGTGTGGAGACGGACTGGAACGAGGAGCTGGTGAAGAAGCACTCCCTGAGCGTGAGGAATGTGCCCACCTTCGTGCCCTACGAGATCAAAGTCCAGGCTGTCAATAATTTAGGATCTGGCCCGGAACCGAACATCACCATTGGATATTCAGGAGAGGATGGTGAGTGGCAGGAGCTTGCCTGTAAAAATGGGGGTTTCTTGTGCTCGGGTGTGGAGTGATGGATTGGGCAGCCCAGAGCTGCTGGAGTGCCAGTGCTCAGCCTGGTGGGCTCCATGAGGCATGGACATGACCCATGCTGGGTGCCTGGATGCCGGCCTGCTGGAGTGTGAGGGGTGTTTTTGGAAAGGTCACTTGTGCCCTCATTAATCTCAGTTGTTGGCTTAGTCTGGGCACTTGTTTGAAGGCCACAGTCCATGAGAAGTCTCTGAAGTGTAGCAGGCGGGCTGTACTTGGTACGGAAAAAATCTTTGGGCTCTCTGAGGCTTGATCCAACAGTTTAACACTGTCAGAAGGTAAATAGTCTAACAATTAGGGACAAACTCCCAGGCATGGGGTGTTTGAGTGAATTTGCAGACAAAGCCACATTCCCACCTGCGCTGGTGTTACCTTGTCCATGAGTCCCTGGAGAATGTGTCATCCTCTGCAGCCTGGGTTTCTGCCCCATGGTTTTCCTTGGCTCCCAGGTGGAGTTTGAGTGCTGCAAATGGACTCGGTGGTTGTCAGACAGGAGAATCCCCCCTGCCCACCCAGAGGTGGGAACAGGAAGGTCTGGTGGTGCAGAAGAGGTGGCAAATAGTGAGAACAAGAATAAAGAAACTCCACATGATATTTATTTTCTTTGTCTCTCTGTGATGAGTCTAATTTTGCATCTACCAGTGGAAAATCTTCCTTGCAATTCAGTTGTCAATGGATCAAGGCCTCCTTTTTTTCAGGCACTGTAATAGCTCTCTGTGTTATGCAGTGATTAAAATCCTACTGTTTAATGAGCTTAGTTGTAAAATGAAATTGATTATAAAAAAAACCTTTATGATTGCCTTCTTGAGTGCAGTGTTAATCATTTTTTTATTCTTCTCACTGCTGTAAGCATTGCTTGAAACAGGAAATCATAAATACTGGTGTAGAAATTCATGTGTCCCAGTACACATGTATCTCAACCCTCAGCAGAAAAATACAGAAAAATAATGTTTATTGGCCCATTCCACCCACTGGATGCAGGTGGAATGGCTTTTTGCTTGCCTGCAGTGAGACTGCATGAAATGGCACAGCTGGAGCTGGAAAGCCAAGCCCTGGAGCTGTGAACAGTGTGAATCTGGGCTCTTGGAAGTGTTTTTAACACCTGAGACTTTTGTTTCTACAGTTCCAGATGCTGCTCCTGCGGGCGTGTCGGTGGAGGTCCTAAACAGCACCCTGGTCGAAGTCTTCTGGGTTGGGATACCAAGGGACCGAGTTCGTGGGCACTTGAGAGGCTACAAGGTTACAAATCTCTCTAGAAATATTTGTATATAGTTGAATAAATTATTAAATGAGTCCCAGCTTGCAATCTCTCATTTTTGGGACGGTGAGAGAGATCATGATCATGCTCATCCCCCTACAATATAATTTGTTCTAAAAATCCCAATCTCCTCGCAGGTGAACTGGTGGAAAACAAGAAGCATGCTGGATGGAAAGAGGCATCACCCAGAGAAACACTTCCTGACGTTTGTAGGAGAGAGGAACTATGGGATGATTCCTGGCCTGGAGCCCTTCAGTGAATTCCGCTTGACAGTTTCGGCTTTCACCTCCAGAGGAGATGGCCCTGAGAGCTCCCCTGTGGTTTTTAAAACTCCAGAAGGAGGTAAGACAAGAGGAAAATATGGGATGGAGGGACATAAATTGAAATTGTCCTTGGGACAAGGTGAGTTGATTCCCTTATTTAAGGTGATAGTAAAAACTCCACCATTTGTAGAGCACTTCACTCGAAAGGGGAGCTGTGGGTGTTGAGCTAAATTATATCCTCATTTAACAAGAATTTGTAGGGACAGACCTGTTCTCTCTCCTCTGAAAGCTCACCCCTGTGTCTTGCAGTCCCTGAACAACCACGTTTTCTCAGGATCCTGAACTTTGACAAGGACTCAGTCACTCTGGCCTGGGGACTTCCCAAGAAAGCCAATGGCCACCTCACTGGCTACATTCTGCAGTACCAGATAAGTATGTGCCTTGTTTGCTTTGAGTTCAGAATTGAAGCAGGATTAGTTAAGGAAAACTCCCAGGTGTGATGTGCACAGAGGCTGCCAGAGGGCAGGCTGCAGTTTTCCATGCAGTTTTCCATGCATTTTTCCCATGGAAGCTCCCATTGCTGCCATTCCCCGTCCCACATTTATGGGCTGATTCAATTATTTCATATTGGCAAATTACCCCTAATGTAGTGGCTAAAAAGACACATAAATTGTAGGTGCATTTTATGGGAGTGAAGCTCATTTAATACCAAGTGAATTGGGATGGGAGCACTCTATGAAGCCACATTAATATAGATCTACACATTATGTCAGGGAGTTTCTCCCCCTTAAGGTGCCTCAGCAGAAACACAAAAGACCACCTGAGTCATGGTGTTGAGTAATCACACTGAAAACAACAAAATACCAGGGGATTTCTTTCTTTCTTGCCCAGGAAAGAAATGAGAAACAAAGACAACCTCAGGCAAGAGCCAGTACTTAGCCCAGACTGCCACAACACCACTTGTGTGGTGTGGTGATAATTCAGTGTATTTTACATGTTCTCTGAGGGTAGAAAAGGATGAGTCTGTGCCCTATTTTTAAAAAAAATGATCACCCATGCACTTTACACTTCTCCCTGCTGATAGCAGAGCTGCTCAGGTGCCTTTGCATCCAGATCTTCCCTTTGGTTTTGCTGATTATGGGCAGAGTGGATCTATCTACAGAACTCCAGATCCTTTTTTATCCCCCTCTCAAATGCATATGCATGCAATTTCACAATAGGTTCGGTTCATACATATTCGTTCTTAGAGATTTCGTGGGACATTTGCCGCTAATTTTTCTTTATCAGAAAGAATTCCTGGGTCAGGTTGACCTGCTCTCATATCAGTCTCTCTATCTGCCTCCCCCTTATCTCTGTCCTTTGGCTGAAGCAGTTTCTCCGAGCCTAGGCTTTCTACGAGAACAGGCAGTCAGACTAAACAGCTGTGTTTTCAAACTACAGACTTAACTCAAAGATGTACATTAAACCAACATGGATTTCCACTCTGGAAAATTTCCACTCTGCCTCAGAGTCAGCTGCATCGTTCCTGCCTTTGTTGGGGCATTTCCCTTCGAACACAACACTGACTGAATGCTCTTCCCTTGCAGTCAACGAGACGCACGAGGTGGGCGCCGTGAGCAACGTGAGCGTGGCCAACCACTCAGCACTGAGCTGGCACCTGGCAGGGCTCAGCCCCAGCACCAAGTACAAGTTCTACATCAAAGCCTGCACGGCCAAGGGCTGCGGGAAGGCGGCCACCGAGGAGGGGCTGACGCTGGCCCAAGGCAGTAAGTTCACAAAATCCACTTCCGTGTGGAGAATGGCGGGGAAATTTTGTGTGTAGGTAGAACCTTACAAAATTAGGGCCTTGTTACCTTTGTAAAATCATGGCTAGGGCCTGCTGCTTTGGCTAAGTAGAAAAGGACTGTGGGGAAGTGACTCGGCTGAATTGGAGTTGATGCTGGCTCAAGGCAGTAAATTCACAAAATCTGTGTCATTGTGGAGGAGCTCTGAGAATAGCAGGAAAAATGGTGTGTGTAGGTAGAACCTTACAAAAATTAGCCACCCTTGTAAAATCATGGCTGGGGCATGCTGCTTTGGCTAAGTAGAAAAGGACTGTGGGAATGTGACTCAGCTGAATTGGAGCTGATGCTGGCTCGAGGCAGTAAATTCACAAAATCCACTTCCTTGTGGAGGAGCTCTGAGAATAGTGGGGAAAATGTTGTGTGTAGGTAAAACCTTACAAAATTAGGGTTTTGTTATCTTTGTAAAATCATGATTAGGGCATGCTGCTTTGGCTAAGTGGAAAAGGACTGTGGGAAAGTGACTCAGCTGAATTGGAGGTAGGAAAACAAGTTATAGAACCGTGATTGGCCCACGTTGTGGTTTATGATGGTTGGTTGAATTACATTTATTGTGCTTAAATGGAATCCAGCTGATAATGGCCTAACTGCTTTAAAAGGCCTGGTTTTTGCAGTAGAGAGCTCTCCTTTGCACCGCCTGGGTAATCTGCATTACTCTGCTTCGTAACAGAAAAATCCATCGGGAATAATCCAGGCTTGACATTTCCTTTGTAATTAGGGGAAGTAAGTTTGTTTTCCTTGCCATGAGAGCAGTCAATGGGCTTTGTAATGTGGCCATGGTGTTCTTCAGGGAAGCAGAGCTCATCTGTTTCATTTTGCTGTGCAGTCCTGTTTCTGTTCCCACCCATCAGCTCCTTAAGCCATGCTGGAATAAGTGAATTGCATTCAGGCACAAACAGAAAATTGAAAATGCAGATAATCTGTTCTCAGTAATACTGTAAAAACAAATTCTGCCCATGCATGAAGATGGGGGACTGCCAGCAACATTAGGGTCAGCTGTTTGACATGGAAAATCCAGATAAACATCAAGTTGACTGCATTTGCTCCATTATTTATGATTATTTTATCAGAGACCAGGAGTAAGTGTTTGTCTGCCACTTACACCCTGTGCTGAAACACTGATGTTCAGTGATTTAGAGAAAAATCCAAGCACCCTATGATAGCTCATCTTTCACTTTCAGCTGAAATGAAATAAAATGTACTGTGCTCAGCAAGTCTGAGAACTCCACAGTACTGAGGAGCAGCTCCTTGCTATTAATCAGAAACCATTGCTGTGCACTTACCCCGGGGAAGGGGGAAGAGAATGTGATAAGCAAAAGAGTCCTGACTGCATCATTTTTAGCAAAGATAACAGTGTGCAGCAATGTTGATGGAAAATAGAAAAATGGCCCCTGTGCTGTTCGACTTCTAAGTTGCAGTATTCTTTTCAGTTACTGGTAAAACAGGAAAAATGTGTTTTAGACCTTCATGTCCCAGTTCCAGATCCAGCCAGGAACTGCCATTTGTTTTCCCAAGTAGCAAAACTCCTTCTCAACTCTCTTTTGGCCTCCAGTCTCAATGTAGGATACAGGTACTTACCTGGTAGCAACTATTAATCACCTTGATTTATTACTCATTAAGAAAAGAAAAATATATCTTTTTTTTTTCCAAGATAAAAATACCCCATTTCCCCTCATTAGCTGCCTTTTCTGGCCTTCATTGGGCAACCAGAATAATGTGTTTTGACTCCTTGAAATAACCTTGTCATGGTTTAGAGATGTTGACATTCATTTTGTTCTCATTCTCTACTTTCCTAAACTCTGTTTCAGTGGTGGCAACACCTGATTCTTGTGAAATATTTCTTAGACTAGAGCAGTATAATTAATGAAAGCTGCAAGGGTTCAGTTCTATGATTTATGTGTGCTCCTTGCTGCTTCTCAAGCCACCCTAAATTAGGGCACTGCATCTGTCACTGAGATGCCATTAGAGTTCTGTGTCATTATTTGCTGGCTAAATTGTTCAGATATTTTTCACCTAAACATGATAGGCTGAAAAAAAAAAAAATTAAAATCACTCTTTTCAGTGACATCCTTGGGGTTTTAAGCTGTGGTTTGGGGACCAAGGCAATTGCTCAAAATTAAAACAATCTCTCTTTTTGAAAGAGGGGAGTGATTTCAGAAGTCAAAGTTTATCATTTCAAATGACCCACGTAAATGACAGATATAAAATGTGGTGCCCTCTGAAATGAAACTCCGTGATGGAACACTCCACGTTTCTTTGGGGGTTGATTCAGTGATTCTATAACCACTCTGTTCCACTTTAATAATAAACCCATAAAGCTCTCGTTGTTCATTTTAAGGCTTTGGAAACTTCCAGTGCTGCAATTCAGCCTTTGCCATGGGTATTTCAGAATTTCACAATGCAATCTGCCAGAAAACTGGAGATGTTGAGGTGGCAGCTCTGGAGTCATTCACATTTTATTTTTTTTTACTTATCTCTATCACTGCTGTTTCCTTAATTTATTTGCATTTATCCCTGCTACTGTTGTCTGGAATTAGAAAGAAAAGGGAATTTCCTTATTTAATACATGTGAGGATTCATGTAGCACCTCTGAAAACAAATCTGTACAGTGAAAATAACTCAGAAATGAAACCCTTATAGGCAACCTAAGATCTTTATCATTTCTTGATAAAATGATTCTTGAACCTGAGCAAAAGGGGATTTGGATTTACTGCAAAATAAATAACAGCTTAATTTCTGTGGTTTCATCCTGGTTTCATTCCCCAGAAGAAGGTATGTTGTCCTTAGAAAATGACTATAATCTCTGTCTTCATATTTTCAGGCAGTATGTCTTAAATGACCTCCAAACTAATTAATTTTCCCCTTGAAAATGTCAATTTCCCCAAGATCATTAGCACTCAGAAACATAACACAAAATAATGTTCTTCCAGAAGTGAAAAGATTAATTTAATGTAGCAGCCCTTCTTTAACACAAAGCTCCTTTTCATCTTGTCGCCAGTGCTGCTCGGGGATTACCAAACACACATTCCATGTTGAGAATTATCATTGTGTGTCCAGAAACCCAAGCATTAATGAGAAATTCATCCACATGAAGCCACACAGTTGTAGGTTTATTCTCCAGAGAAGCCAGGAAATAAAAGTTCACCAATTTCATTATATTCCAGTGGCTGCTGGCTCATAATTCCCAAAGGCTTTTGGAAAATCTTAGGGAGAGGCTCCCTTCAGGACCAGAGGAACCATTTGGAACAAGGCATGTGGCTTTAGCTCTCTTTTGCCATGGGCACAGTGGAAAAGGAATAATAAAATACTTTTCCTAAATGTAACCACTGGTGCTGTTAGCAGCAAACCTAACTTTTAGCTCACAATCTAGAAAATCCATTTAAATCGGTGCAAATTTCTTGATCATCACCTCACCTATAAATTTTTCTCAATAAACTTTACATACAACAGGTTTGCTAATCTCTCTAGTATAAAATAATCCAAATTTAACATGAATTACCTCCTGCACTGAAAAGCCCTGAAAATGAAAGATACTTGTGCTGCATATTTAAACATTTTTAACAGCCAAGCAGCAGGGGAAAATTAATGGAAGTTCAGCTTTGCATTTATTGCAGCAGATGTATTTAGACAGGTATGGTTATAAATTAAGATGCTGCCCACAATTAGTATTTAGCTCTCAGACTGCCAGGTTTTTTTTATATAAGTATATTTTATAACAGATGTGCTAACTTTTGGAGGACACTGGAAAATCTTTGGGGGTGGTTTCTATTGTTTTTCCCTTTATTCCATAAGCTTCTGTAAAAAATGTGTGTTCTGTTCTCCCCATAAATCTTGGAGCCCAGTAGGAATATTGTAAAATTGCAGTTCAGTGTTTAATGTTCATGCAAGTCCCATGGTGTGGCTGATAAATAGTGGGGGAGGATGAGAAGTGCTGGTGATATGCCTTTATTACTAATGCTCCTTCTCCCTTATTGGAGATTAAAAACCCAACCCAACTGCTTTCAATTTTCTGCAGCTAATTCCTGCAGCTTCCAGGATGTTCCTGGCCTTCCACAATGTGGAGCTTTGCCTTATCTGTGTATCTTTGCTTTTATTTTTCAGGAGGCCGCACTGCCTTTTTCTATTCCAGCCACCAAACCCACCCCCATTAGCAAATCTTTCTGCTCTGTAGGGCCCCTGTTGGCTGTGTCATACAGACCAGGAAGAAATGGCATGGAAAGAAACCTCATAATCACCCAGCACTGGACACCTGTTCTGAATTTTAAAGGAAAAAAAAAGAGTGTTTTGGGATAGGAGATGGTAAATGGAGAGCTGTTGGTAAATCCCCAGTGCCAGGTTAGGCTGGGCTCATCCTCATCCCAAGAGGTCCATCCCAGCCCTGAGCTGCTCCATGTGCCAGGGCAGCTGCAGCATCAGACAGAGCTGAGCAATGAGTGGGCAGAAAAAAAGAAATTTTTCAGCCATCTCACTTCCCTCTTTCTGCTTCTCCAAAGAGCTGATGGTTCAGAAAGAGGCTGGGATAAATAAGGGGCAGAGAGGGACTGGTAAAGCTGCTTTAAGAACATGCCAGGAGCTCAAGGTTTAAGATTTGCTTCCCAGGAATTCAGGAGAAATTCTTCCTTAGGAGGCTGGTGGTGTGAACTTTGAGTAATGTGGTTTCCATGTCATGCACAAGTGTTAGTGGTATTTAACAGACATTGGGTTGAAGGTTCGTGTTCATTCCTGTTCCTTTATGGATAATACTCCCATTTTTCTGATGCCTTGATTTTAGAGCATGTAATTAAAATGTACCTGTGGTATCCTGTTGCCTAATTTTCGGTTTGATTAAAAACTATAGCTGGGTTTCACATACTTCATTTAGCAAAAATTACCCATAGATGGATTAATTTATGCTAATGAGCTGTGCTTCAGTATCAGCAGTGTTTCAGCTGGATGTGTTCTCTCTGATCCCGGTGGTCTGCCCATTTAACTGCTTATTGTAATATGTGGAGAGTTGCCTTAAAAACTTAAACTTATCCTGAACTGCTGCTTTGACTGTGCTTGGATTTATCTTAATCTTTTTTCTTTTTTTCCCTTCAGCTGTCAACTCAGCCTTAATCTCCAGCAGCTTCTTGCTTTGCTTATTTACTAGTTGAAGTATTAATGAGCATTGTTCCCCTGTCAGTGCTAATTGGCCGAGCAATTTTCAGATTATACTTTGTGCTCAAGCCTTAGTTTAGATGGCTTTGGACAAAACAGGCAAATCAGGCGACTGAGAACGATTCAAGAATTATTTTTATGAAGTGCAGCCCCCCCAAATTTCTCTCCTGCCATTGAGAACAGGGACACTTCCATGTTGTAAGAGATCCCTCCATGTCACACACAGTTCTGAATTTGCTGTTCATGTGCAGGCAGTGATTGTCAACTGCTGTAAAGCCCTTTCTCCTGATTTCCACAAAAGCTGTTCTGAAAAATCTCATTTAATGCCCACAATCTGAATGCAGACGGGGTTACAGGAGGTGTTTTGCAAATAACAAAGTTCCATAACCAGAACTAGTGGAATTTACCTTCTCCTAATCAAATATTAAACTCATCAGCAACACTTAAATGCCTAAATGTCCATTTACAGGCAAATTGTTGAGTTGTTTCTAAACCAGTGCTTTGTGCAGGCATCGTGGAATTTAAAAGGACACAGAAAATCACTGTCAGGAGAGAAGCAAGCACAAATCCCACTGTTAATTTTTTCTGGGAGACATATAAGGATCCATATCCAGCTAACAAGCTGTCTGTGCTTCCCTGCTGAGTTCAGTTCAATGGGAGCAGCATCAAACCCCAGATTATCCATACAAAGCAAGCCCATTTGCAAGTTGTAATTTTTTAAGCAGGCATTAGTTCGAGCAGATCCATAATCCCCCATCAATATTAACTTTCATCCTGGGAGATGTGCAAACCCCTTCCTGAACATCAGGATTACTCCGGTCTGCCGTTGATTTCATCTGATGGAACGTTAAAAATCAAACAGAGGGGGATGTTTGGGGGTATTTTTTTTGGTTTTGCTTTTGGAAAAATCAGATTGCCCAATGCCAAATGTTTCAAATTCCTTGCTGTATTTGTGTGTTACTTGTAACTGTGCATTTCCTAGGCTCCATGACTGCATTAACCCCTGTGCCCTGACTGTGTGCATTCCGTAGGTAAAGGCAGCGGCAGGATTTCAGACGCAGTAAAGCCCACCCCAAAGTTTCAGCCCAGCGAGGCCCTTGAGCCTGGCACTGAGTACACAATCCGCCTAGTGACTAAGAACTGGGTGGATAACAATAGCATTTTTGAAGATGTAATTGAGACCAGGGGGAGAGGTGAGACACGAAGCCCTTCGAGGTGCTGAACGTTTGTTTTTCCATGTGAATCCATGCTGAGGTTCCTGTGCAGTGTGAGTGTCCCAAACTCATCGTTCCGTGCTCTGGGGTTGAGGTTGGCCCTTTGCAGTTGAATCCCACGGCAGCACAAACACATCCCAGGCTCTTGGCTGAGCCCTGTGCTTTACAGCAGCCTGGAACAATCCCAAACCTTCACAAACCTGCGCAATGTGAGAGGGCAGCTGGGATAAAACCCATAAGTGGCCAGTTTGGTGATCTGCATGTACTGGGGGCACTTCTACCTCTCTCTCTTCCGCAAAACTGCTTTTGCATGAGAGGCTTAACAGCTCTGTGCTCAGCTTTCCTGTGTGGTGCTAATCCTGTGACTCAACTGCTCTCTCAGAGCCACCTTGCCAAGTGTCTGTGTTGTCCCTTGTCACCCGCACGCTCCCCTCCAGTCCCAAATGTCTCACTCTGGACATTCCTGTTGAAGCTGAGCACCATCAGTAGCCATAGACTGATTCCATTAAAATCCAGAGAGGAACATGATGTGTTCGTGTTATTGTGGGGTGCTGCCCTTTCCCTCTGATTAATTTTCTCCCTTTTTGCTCCTCTCCCATCTCCCCAAGCCTACGCTGGCATTTACGAGGGGATTTCCACCCAGGGCTGGTTCATCGGGCTGATGTGCGCCATCGCCTTGCTCACCCTGCTGCTGCTGACAGTTTGCTTTGTCAGAAGAAATAAAGGAGGCAAATATTCAGGTAAATGGATTTATTGTCCTTTCCCTCTGCTCACGTGTTAATGACCAACATCCTTCAGAGGTTTCTCTCTGGGGGCCGCAGGGCTGCCAGCACAAACATCCAATTAGGATTTGTAGCTTTTGATACATATCCATGGAAGGGATTGTAACGAGTGTAAGTGGAGCTGTGCTGTGTGCTGGTCACAGAGCCTGCAAAGGCCTTTCCCAGCACTCCTGGAATATTCCAGCATTTAATCCAGCAAGATCCTTGCTGGCAGGACTCCCTGCCTCACTTTCCACCTGGGAACTGCTGCTGGACACATGGACAGAACTTCCACAGGCAGCTTAACAGTGGAATATTTTGCTAAAAATTACCTCTGTCGCTTTCCAGGCAGTGAGTAAGGATTTAGATAAATGTATTGAAGTGGAAATCTGGTTGCCCAAAGAGGTGGTGGTTGCTCCATCTCTGAAAACATTCAGTGCCAGGTTGGACAGGATTTGGAGCACCCTGGGATGTTGGAGGGTGTCCCTGGTGGCACTGATGAAATTTAAGGTCCCTTCCAACCCAAACCATTCCATGATTCTATAAATACTTGCTCATCATAAATTAGGGCATGGTCTCAAACTCTTGGAAGCTCACAGGTTGTGTCCAGCCAGCTCCAGCCCAGCCTGGAGGTGAGTGCAGATGGATTTCCCACTGCCCCTGGGAAAAGAAAAATCCATAGCAGAACACAACACAGAGATCTGTCCTTTATTTTATTTGCACAGTGAAAGAAAAAGAAGATTTGCATCCAGATCCTGAAGCTCAATCAATAAAAGATGAAATCTTTGGGGAATATAGGTAAATAGGACCTGCTTTCACAAGGCTTTGTGTTTCTTGGGGTTTTGTTTGTTTCCAAATCATTATTCGGGACATTTTTATGGCATGCAATTAATGCTGTTTTTCATTTTCAAAGCAAACCTCATAGGAGTGGATAAGAGTAGGAATATAAAGGTATATCCAGTATATTTCAATCCATCCAAGCTGGGATATAAAGAAATGCTGATGTATTGGTGGTTATTTTTCACTTTTTTGTTTTTTTTAATTAGCATTGTATGAATAATGTAAATATATATGATAATTTGGGGTGCTTCTGAAAAGCCCACTGAAGTCAATGGATTGAATTCTATGTCTTCAGTGGGTTTTTGAAACTCAGACCCAAATCATGTAATATGGGGAATTTTGGGGAAGAAAACAAAGAAAAGTTTGGAATATGGTAAAAAAGATTAAGAAACCAAACATTGCTCTACAGAAATCCCTGTAGGAGAATTGAAATAACCACTTTGGCTGCTTTAAAATAACTAAAACTTCTAGCAATATGTAATTGTGATATGAAGGAAAATACATAATTATAAGAACCATGCTGGAAAACTGGTGTTGCTGCCCTTAAGGGCATAAAATTGCTGTTGAAATCCCACTTATATATACTACATTATTTGTACTGGAGTAGGGCTTTTTTTTTTCTGCATAATTTCATCTTTATTTAATTTTTAATGCTTTCTAATGGGACAAATATTTAGAAAGGTAAGAAAGCCCTGAGGTTAATAACTTTGACCCCCTCCTTTCCCCCGGAAATCCAAACTTGTCTTTTTTTCTGAGGAGAAATGCCCTGTGCAGAAAATGTGATTTTTTTTCTGTGTTGTTTCTGCACATATTGAGTCTATCCTGAAGAAGCTCAGGTTCATTTCTCTGTCCCTCCTTAGATAAAATTGCCAAAGATTTGACACTGAGTTGGCATTAGCAGCAAGGGCTCTACATGAGTAATTATGTCCCTAATCCACTGGCCTAATTTAGTTTTTTTTTATATAATCTTTTAATATTTTCCCAATCCCCGCAAATATCCTGTTCTTGTTCCTCTTCTGTAGTGCTATTAGGAGGAATGACCAGTGAAATTCCCCTTTTTTTCCCAGAATTTTTGTGGTGGGCCTGTCCTTTTTCATGGAATTTTCACTGGATAGAGTCTGAAGCTGCAGACATTCATTCTGCTTTGGTTTTTCCCAGTTCTTCCCCTTATCCCTAGAATTTTCACTGGACAGAGACTGCAGATGCAGACATTGATGCTACTTTGGTTTTTTCCCAGTTTCTCCCCTTAGCAGGGGCAAATTCCAGTGAGATAAACTCTGGTAAAATAAAATACTAGCAGAAAAAATAAAAGGGGAAAAGCACCTTATTTGCCATTTAAACTCAAAGGGATGCTCCCAAAGCAGTGAGATGTGACCCACTGAAGTGATATCACTTCATCCACCCACCTCAGAAGGAAAATGAAACAAATAGTCCCTGAATGTTGTCCAGTGTTTTGTAAAATGAGAAGTGAGGTTTCAAGTGCTTGATGTCAGCCCTGGTGGCTGGAACAGACCCCTCCAATCCTTTCCAGCATTCCCTTTGCCTTCCCCCTCCCTCTCTGTCCATTCTATCTGCCCAAGGCAAAAAGGGGATAAAAACCCAAATAGATGAGTACTGATAATTCCCATTAACCAATTAATTTGTTGGAAATGACAAAACCCATGTGGGTGAGCTGAGGTGTGTGAGGAGCAGGGCAGGACTCAGAGGTCAGACCATCCTCACTGTACCACCCAGGGGTCCCTCTCTCCCCTTCCCCAGGCAGGAGCAGTGCCCCTCGAGCAGTGCAGGGCAGGTTTTTGGAAAGGCAGGTGTTTGGAAAGGCAGGTTTTTGGAAAGGCATCTCTTTATTTTGTAGTGACAGCGATGAAAAGCCGCTGAAAGGCAGCCTCCAGTCACTTAACGGGGACATTAAAGCCACTGGAAGTGCTGATAGTCTGGTAGATTATGGAGAAGGGGAGCATGGCATGTTCAATGAAGATGGTTCATTTATTGGAGCTTATTCTGGATCTAAGGAAAAAGGATCAGTGGAAAGCACTGGGAGTTCTACGGCGACTTTTCCTCTCCACGCCTAAAATTGGTGTTTAATTGTGGTGTTTGTCCTGGTTAGCTCCCCACAGGTACCTCTGTGCTGGGGAGCTGGGTGCCACTTGAGCCAGTCAGGAAAATCCTGACATCCAGGTAATACAAAAACAAGTCACTGCCACTAAAAGATGATTTTTCCATCCTAATTTCTGTGTGTTTTCTTCTGAATAAAACAGAGTAATTCTTTTTTCTACACGATGTGTTAGTCTGAGCAAACCAGAGTTTGCTCTGGTGGTACATCTGTGTCCTTGCCTGCTGCTCCAGGTGTTTCTTAGGCTTGGAATATGTTTCTCTGTGTAGTATTTTTGCCCTGTGTGGCTGTTGTCACAGGTGTGTGTGTAAAAAACCTCGAGGTTATGGCACCAACAAAACCAGGTTACTCTGCAAAGTGGCACAACGAGGAAAATCGGGATTTAAAATACCAGAGAAATATATTCTATATATTGTATAATTTTCTCCTAAAGAATTAAACCCCTTTGTGTATGATATTCAAAAAACCTGTTTTAGTGGTTACAGCTGACGTCAATTCCAATACTTAGAAATGCAGCTTTACCCACAGGAGAGTGTGGGTGAAGTTGCTGCCCAGTAGCTGGCACTATTTCCTTAAATAAGTTAAGCTGCAGCTTTTTCCTGTGGCAAGGCAAAACAGGGTTCCCATCCACCATCACTCAAAATATTTTTAATTTTTCCCAGCTGCAAGCTGCATTTCTAAGCAAACTCCTTGGTGTCTGTCTCATATCTGTATATTTGTGAGCTAGCCAACATTTCATGGAGACGTTGTACATATGATATTAATATTGACACAAGTCCAGAGCAGCCTGGTTTTATTTTGAACTGAGACATGTTGCTAGCATGGGTCTGTATAGCTGTGTAGGAATGAGTAGATTTGCTTCTCAATATGGATTTGGACCAGCAGAATTAGTTTTCAGAAGGAGTTGTGTGTATAGGAATCATCCAAACCTCTCACCACTCAAGCAGCACCTAAACTAGACCTACCTGAATTTCAAGAGTTCATTTCTTTTCAGCCTATTCACTGTTAAATAAACAAAAAACAACAAAAGCAACAAGAAAATACTATGGTAGAGTTTGTTTTCCTATTTTGTTGACTGAATGCTGGTTTAGATCTGGTTCTTTGCCTCTCCAACACTAACTCAGCCAAGCTGTACAGCACATTTTTTTGGTCTTTTTGTATTGGAATCTCCTGAATCTCTTTTTAACAGCATTTGTATTTTTGGATCTGCTTGTTTGAGTAGAGCATCAACGTGGCTTCATTTCTTCTGTCACTCCCATTATAAAAGTTTTTCAGTAGTTCCTGCAGGAGGAATAGATCCTAAAAGCTGTTTGGCATCCTGATAGCAATTAGGCAAATATCCCCACATGGGTCCTCCATGATTTCAGTGGAAGAAAGAGAGGAAGCAAGAATTACTCCCGTGGTTCTGAGATTCCAGCAAGGGCTACAGTTAAGCCCAGGGAAATGCAGATTTTTCCCAGTGGAAGGGCTGTGGATCCCACACAGCTCCCCCCAGGCTGGGGCTGCTCCTCAGAGCTTGGCAGTTTCTGGAAGCCTTTGGTGCTCAAGCTTCTGCTGATCTGTGCCTCTTTTTGGGGTTTTATTGGAGCTTTTAGGGCTTTTTGTGGAACCTCTGTTTGGGAAAAGCAAACACCAAACAGCCACTCCAAAAGCCCCATTCAGGCTGTGCCTATAAGTATAAAATGGTGAGTGGAAATCTGCCCTTAAAATCAAAAATTATCCCATCCCATGTCAGTGACCCAGATTATTCACTTATTATTATTTATAAAGTTCTATTTCCTGTACTTCACTCAATCCAAACCCTGAAAAGGTCCAAAAACCTTTTAATTTTGGAGGGAAAAAGTAATTTCCCAAAAAAGGGAGTGCACAATTAGAGAAATGGGAAAATTGGCATCTCATCAACAGAGACATTTCCCAGCAGCATCTTTATCTGCTGACTCGTGTCTGCTGCAGCCCAAGCCAGATAAAATCTAAGAACTGATAAGGCTTGTGACAACCTGCTGCTTGCTTTGGGCTGCTTTTCATGAATTTCCTTTGGGAATCATCTGCAGTGATCAAACGTCTTTGAAAATTGGGGAATAAAATTGGGGTGGGCTCCCCCAAATCCTCACTTTGGGCTGGGGGGGCTGTTCCTGCACTCCCCCATCACCTTTGCCTGTGGGTCACTGCAGATGAACCAGAGCCCTCATCCCAGAAAATGCTTCTGTTAAATAAACAATGTGGAATTTCTCTGTTTCAGACCATATTAGTGGGTGTCAAATGCTCCAATAATGGATACAAATCCCCCGTGCAGCTCCTGCTCTGTTGCTGCTGAGAGGTGTTTGTGATGTGCTGGTGGTGGTGCTTTTTCCACTCAGATTTTAATTCACAGCCTTAAATCTTAATGGTGGTGTTCCACAATGCCTCAGGACCTCAGAATCAAACAGGGAGGAAAAGATGTGCAATGGAACCTGGAGTTTTGAACACGGGTTTTGAGGAATATGCCCAGTGAATATTAAACAAGTGGCTCAAACTCCCAGGAAATCTCACTCACCTGAGCTGTTTTCTCTTCCCCAGTCATTTATTTTCTTTTTTTCCCTGCACTGGGATTTTTTCTGCTGGAAAGTGCAGGTTGGTGATGGTTTTTTAGAGATTTTTTTTAAAGTAAATTAACAGAGCAAGCTGAGGTTTTCCTGAGGAGTTTTTTGTCATTGCAGGGAGCTGGGCTGTGTTTTTGCCTTGGTCTGTGCCAGGTGACAGGAAGTGTGACCATGCAGCTCAGTAAAAGTGTCACCAACTGCTCTGCAGTTCATGGAACTTCCTGACTTGGAAGGGATCCACAAATTCATCAAAGTCCCCTGCACACCCCAGAAATCACACCCTATTCTGAAATAGTGCATTGAGCATTACATCTTTGCCTTGGTTTGTTTGGGACTTTTTTGGATTTTTTTTTTTCCCCCTCTGGCCAGGGGTGTTTATTAAAATTACCTGCTGGAAATCCATGGGGATTTCATTAATTAACACCTGGCAGGGCATTCCAGCCTGCCTGCTGAGAGGAGGGAGTCCAGCCACGGGAGCAGAACAGGGAATTCTTAATTATCCCATCCCAGGCTGTGCTTGGGTCCTTTTGGTTCTGACTCGTTTTGCCTCAGGAGTGAGAGGAGAAATGGCACCTTCAGATTTGATACCCAGATCAAGCCAGGGTGTAATTCCACCCACCAGGGAGGAGGCATTTCCCTGGCCCCACAGATCCAGGTTGGTTTAGGGATTTAAAAAGCCTCTGGAAGAAGAAGAGGGATGGGTCTTGCTGAAAAAGTTGTGCAGTTTTGACTGTGCATAAGATTAAATGAATAAAATCAGCTCTTCCTAAATAATGGGGAAAAAAAAAACCCTCTGTCCTTTCTCCCAAGGGAGCTGTTTGGATTCCCAGAGCAGCATGATATTGATAATTTTTCTGTAATTTGATATATATACATATATACACACACAGACAGACATATGTGTGTGTATATATATATATATATAATATATATATTATATATAATATATATTATATATATTTATATATGTATATATATAAACATATATGTATATATATACATATATACATATAAATATATATAAATATATATTTATATACATATATATGTATATAAATATATATATTTATATATTTATATATATATATATATATATATATATATATATATATAAATTTAATGACATTATCAAGAACCTGCAGGAACAGCCCCAGCTTCCTTCTCTGTCAAAATCAGGGGATCCAATCTCCAGAAACCTCGTGGCTCTGCACTCCAGCAGGATAAAAGCACAGCCCTGGGCATCAGAGCCCTGCTGGGGCTGGATCTTTAGGAAGAGCATTAGGAATCAAATCTTTAGGAAAAGAATTAGAAATCAAATCAGGAAATTACTTTCCCCCTCTGGATAAAATCGTGTGTTCATGTAGAAAAAAATGTAAAGCCTTTGTTGTAACTCACATCATAAATGGATCTAATTAGCAAACGATTTAATGATTTTTTTTTAATTATGGATATTTTTTTCTGCTGTGTTGATGTTACACAAATTCCAGTGAGTTGCTCTTTTCCTGGGAACTGCTTCCATTGGCTGAATGGCTTCAATCCAGTGCACGAGAGGTTTTCATCAAGATTTCAGGCCAATATTATTTTTGACATGAAAGCAAATAGTAGCACAATCTTTCTATGTATTTAAAAAAAAAAAGGTGGGGTTTTTAAACAGTGACTCCACATTTTGTAAAGAAAAGTTAGAATAACATTCACTGCTCCTTGAGCTTTTGAGGGGAAACCTCAGCATCATTTTTCACAGCCATTATTTTGCAGATGAGAAGTGCATTTAGGTTATTTTGCTTATCTGTAAGAACAGATAGAAAGAAAGGAAATTCTTCATGGAGAATTCCCTTTGTTTGCCAATGGATCACACCCTCAGCTGCATCTCTGTCAGTGTTGATGACAAAAAATCAAGGTACAAACCACTCTGGAGTAGCAGGACATGTTTACATGGCAGCTCTGGATCTCTCATGTCAAATCTCAAGTGATCTGCACTGATTTGTTCTGTTTGCAGGCAGGAGCCCCTCGGGGGCTTTGAGCCAAAGCATTCTGTCTGTTCATTTTTTATTATTATGGTTCTGACTTTAAACAAGAGACTTTGTAATTTCATGAGAAAAAGATCAAAGCAAATGTGGTGTCACCATCACAATGTTACTTTTTTGGGAGCTAAATGTTAGTGTGCATTGATTAAAGTTTAGAGAAACGTGTTGTACTGTAGTTGCTGTTTGTACCGCGCAGATGTGCACGTACGGTTTGAAAAGATATTTTCATTTTACATGAAATACAACTTTGCTAATAAAAGTTTGACTTGATGTAATCTTCAAAAGCCTTGGCTGCAATCAGCAAGTTTCTTTTGTTTGATTTGGGGGTTTTGTTTCATTCTTTTTTCACTTGGCAGTGTTTATTTGCTGGGAATCTGATTGAATTGTGACCCACAGCCCTCTCTGGGCTGTAACACGTGGGGTTTGGTTATTTTTGGTTTCACACCAAGGTTGAGCTGCCCTTGGCTTTCCCTGGGATTCTTGGGCACCATGGATCATCAGCCCTGTAGATATGACACCAAAGCAGGATGAAGCTGACCTGCAAACAGCCTGAATTTAACTCCTCATTGATTCCATGAGATCCTCTCCTGGACCAAACTATCACCCTGTGTATTGTGAGCATCTCTCACAGGCTTTACTCACCCTGTATATTGTGAGCATCTCTCACAGCCTTTACTCACCCTGTGTATTGTTAGCATCTCTCACAGCCTTTACTCACCCTGTGTATTGTGAGCATCTCTCACTGGCCTTACTCACCCTGTGTATTGTGAGCATCTCTCACAGCCTTTACTCACCCTGTGTATTGTGAGCATCTCTCACAGCCTTTACTCACCCTGTGTATTGTGAGCATCTCTCACAGGCCTTACTCACCCTGTATATTGTTAGCATCTCTCACAGCCTTTACTCACCCTGTGTATTGTTAGCATCTCTCACAGGCCTTACTCACCCTGTGTATTGTGAGCATCTCTCACAGCCTTTACTCACCCTGTGTATTGTGAGCATCTCTCACAGCCTTTACTCACCCTGTTAGCAGCACAAAACCTCCCAGCACACAGAGTTTCTACTCCTCTTCATTAAAGATCACCAGAATATTGGTAACCTTAGCAATATCCAGGCTCACACAAACCCAATAATATCTTGTTTTGTTGTTTTTTTAGGGAAAACTACACTTGTGCCTAAAGTCTGGAATCTGTGTGTATTAATTTTACAGGAATTTAGTAAATGGGCTTTGTTTGCCAAGGAAAATACCTTGGTTCTTTTGTTACTCCCTCCCCTCTCCCCATCACCAATACTCTGTTCTAGGATTAATGCTGCTGTCTGCCCATGGGGAAGGTTCTGCAGGTGAACACAAATTCACCCTCCTGATACCTGGAACAGCCAACGTGAGGACTCAATAAATGACAGCAGACAAATCTGTGGCACCCGATATTGCTGGAAA